GATCACAAAGCGCTTCACACATTAAAACACTTAAAATACACATACAAGTCAGAGGATATTATTATTAAACATATTGTTGTTACTAAAACAGAATATTATGTAATATTATGTAATCTGTCGTCCTAGTGGTAGAACAAAGTCATTACAATCATGTGACACGTGTAGCTCCAATGCACTGATGCAATCCACCTGCTGGAGTTTAGATTGAAATGATACAAACTCTAATAAGCCTGATATTATCTTCATGCTGCTCTCTGATTGGATAATCTGCCTGAACATAAATGTTATGGACAATGTATTTTTTATCAAGAATAACTCACTTTTAAATCTTTGATATAGAGGTCATTTTACATTTCAAAGTAACAAACAGCTGGAGTAAGGGAATTGAACCTTTATTTGTCCTACTGTGGGGAAATTCCACTGTTGCAACGCACTGACAGGACAGTAGCAAGAGCACACAGGGAGCACACAAAAGCTGCTTTGTTTCTTTGTTTGTGCAGCGTCTACGGTGTCCCTCAGGGGTCATGTTGAGATGGTCTTTGCTGGATTCTCACCTGGTCTCTCTCGTGTGCCTTACCTGGTCTCTGTCTCTCGTGTGCTTCACCTGGTCTCTCTCGTGTGCCTCACCCGTTCTCTCTCTCGTGTTCCTTACCTAGTTTTTGTCTCTTGTGTGCTTCACCTGGTCTCTCTCGTGTTCCTCACCTGGTCTCTTTACAGCTGTGGGCATTTGTCTCTCGCTCCACACAGATCTATTGTACATGTTTTTAGTGGTAGGGGAAACCGGAGCACCTGGAGGAAACCTACGCAGACACGGGGAGAACAAGCAAACTCCACTCAGAAAGGGTAAGACCAGGACAACAGGGGAGAAGGCAAAATACCAGGACTGACCAGCACTGACCAAGACTGACCAGGACTAATTAAATATAAAGTTAAAATGTGGCTTAAATGTCTTTATAATAAAAAAGACCTTTTTCCCTTTTGACGATTGTTTTTCTAATTTACCAAACTCCAATCATCACCAGAAGTTTTGAGTCTAACATGTTATGGCCTCATCCAGAGAAGCACGGCTAACATGAGAAGTGCTGCTAATCTGCAAAGACACACAACCACAAACACAACACAACCACAACACTACACACATTTGTCACAGTCCAGTCTCAGAGGAAACGCAGCGATGGCCCAAAAACAAAACCTCCTATCTGCAATTTTTTCGATTATGGGTTTTTACAATAAATGGAAAGAAGAAGGATGGCTCTACATTCTAAGGCTATTTGCAAGATCATTTTGCATTTTTTGAAGACATTTAGGTCACCTGAAAAAAACCTCCTATCTGAATTGCTTGTAAGTTCTTCAGCACAAAACCTTCTATCTACATCAGCAGCTGATTCTGCTTATTTTTTGGGACATCTGTTGCATGTAAACATGTTAAAATGTCTGCCAAATTGTAACTGTTGATTGTTTTAACAGTAAGTATGCACATTGCACAATGCTATTAGAGTTTTTGTTACTATTTGTTTAAATAATGATCTGAATCTTACATGCAAATGAGTTGGCGCACTGCTGTGAAACGTTTTATGATACTAAAGAGTGACTAGATAGGAAAAAAGTGAACGCCACTTAATATTGTACAGATTCTATAAAAAATGTAATTTAGTGTCATTAATTAGCCTTTTCCAGGTTTTGGAATTAGGGAGATCGAGGCCTGTTGCATGGTTAAGGGCAAGTACCGTTTTTTGTATTATATCATTAAACAATACAGTCAAGTTTGGTGCAAGGACGTCTTAAAAACATTTACATTTTGTTTTAAATGTTTTAAATAATGTTTTAAACTCATGATTTTGTGCTTTCCAGAAGATCATTATCAGTTTGTGTTAGTAGGCAGATTTACATTTTTGAAGAATTCTTCCATTTCATTCCTATTGCAGCATAATTCTGATCTATATAAATTACTGTAGATTTTGGCAAATGTTTAAGTCAACTCTTTTGGGTCACTTATTAACATGTCATTAGGACTATAGATTGATTAAATTAATTGTTTGTTCTCTCGTTGTTTGAGTTTCAGGGCTGTTTTTCCTGCTTTTTCTCCAAACTCAAAAGCAAAAGCATTTGGACTGATTGATATTCATCTGTGCAAATCAGAATCTCCTTTTTTACCATAGAATTGTTGGGGTCAGACATACAGTGGGAAAGTAGAAGAATTTAGTCATCCACCAGTTGTGCAAGTTCTCTCACTTAAAAAGCCTTTAACTCCCATCGAAGGTAAACCTCAACTATCACAGACAGAATTTGGTCACCTACTAACTCTCTCACAGACCTGTAACTCCTTCTTTAAGAGGCTCCTTTGTCCTCCACTCATTCCCTGTATTATTGGCTCCTGTTTGAACTTTAAAAGACACCTGTTCAAAACCGCAAACAACACGGTAGACCTGCACCAGGCTGGGAAGACTGACTATGCAATAGGTAAGCAGCGGACAGCCCGCATGCCCACTGGTTCCCGTTCCTGAGGGGCATGGCGGTGAGGGAACCTTGGCCTCTCCCGGACGAGCCCGCGGCTCTAGTCGAGGGAGGGGGGACACTTCACTCGCGCCCGGTGCTGGGCCACAGACTCTGGGTCTGGAGGCTGAGAGGCGGAATCTCGTAGGTCTGGGACTCCCTCAATCGGTGGGGGAGACCATTTAGGGTGCGAGGGCCCCTCCCACTATTAGAGCCTACGGCTGTAGGTGGAAGGTTTTCAGTGACCGGTGCGCGGCCCGATCTTGGGACCCCATGTCCTGCCCTCTGGAGGGGGTACTGGGGTTCCTAAAGGAGCTGCTGGAGAAGGGGAGAGCTGCCGGCACCCTGGCGGTGTTCGCAGCAGCCATTGCCTCCGGCCATGGAGGGTTTTGGACCTTCTCGGCCCGTTCCCACCCGCTGGTCAAACGTTTCCTTCGGGGGGCCCACCAGAAGAGGCACGTTCTCCGGAGAACGCCTCCGCTCTGGGACCTCAAGGTGGTCCTGAGGGGGTTATCGGGGCCGCCCTTCGAGCCTGTGGCCCAGGTCAGCCTCGAATGTGTGGCTCTCAAGACCACCCTCTTGCTGGCTCTGGTCTCAACCAAGCGGGCAGGTGAACTATGCGCACTCTCCGTTCGCCCAGAATGCCTGGCGTTTGGTGCTGAGGATGCTGTAGTTGAGCTTTGGCCAAACACAGCCTTTCTGCCTAAGGTTGTTTCTTTGGCCTTTAGGTCAAGGGTCATCAGGGTCCGACCCTTTCATCCACTGCCTCATGCCTCGGAGGAGGATCTGTTGTGCCCAATCAGGATGCTGAAATCCTACCTGGCCGTTAGAGCTGCTTTCAGACATTCTGATCAGCTGTTTGTGTGCGTGGGCCCTAAGAACATGGGCGCGCCGTTGACGCCTCAACGACTGGCGCACTGGGTATCCCGGGCGATTCGCTTGGCATACCAGGCCCAGGAATTGTTCCCCCGGTAGGGTTCAGGGCGCATTCCACACGAGGAGTCGCGGCCTCCACAGCTCTGCTCTGGGGGGCCTCGGTAGAGGACGTCTGCCAAGCCGCGTCTTGGGCTTTGTCCTCGTCCTTTGCTCTGTCGTTTTTAGTTGACGTTTCAGAACGGTCGGTCGCTCATTCCGTTCTGAACGCGGGGATCTGACTCACCACGGGACGCTCGGAGGGAGTCGAACCGCTTCAGAAGCTTTTGATAGAGGCGTCCTGGGGTCGTGACCTGCTCTTCCTGTAACCGGTTTTTACCATACTTCAGGAGCTCTTGGTAGAGGCATCCTGGGTATTTTTTTTGTGCTCACTCATACGGGAGTCTTGTCAGAGCAAGGGCGTCCTTGGTAGGAGAGGCCATTGCTCTGTTCGTGCTCCTCAGGAGCTTGTCAGTGTCTTTCAGGCGTCCTTGGTAGGAGCGGCCTTGTACACTGCTCTTCTTCCTTCCTGCCCCGAGTCCATGCGCCTTGGTAGTGCGGTGGGGACTCGGGCAGGGCTCCAATCACTGTACGCTGGCCTGATGGGAGTACATCTCTCTACGGCTTCGCGTAGTACCCACAGCGAGCCTAAGTGGCGTAGCACCATGATGTAGAATTGGTAGTTACCTAGTATAACTTTGGCAGAGTTCAAAGGGGCAGGTACGGACTACAGAGGGGCATTAATAGGAGGTACTAGTCCGTGATTGGAGCGTTGATTTCTCTCTGGCGGGAAGCTCGTGCTTCTTGAGTATACCCACAGCGAGCCTAAGTGGCAACGCACCATTCGTAGAACTTAAGTTACACTGGGTAACTACCAAATATCCAACAGAACTGAACAGTCCACAGTCTCCGCGTATATCAGGCTCTGCCATGAGACTAAACTACTTTTCCTTCGGTTCCTTCGAAGCACAAAGCAGTCTGCTCCGAAGTGCCTCGTCCATGCTCCTGCAGCCTCTCATGCTTCCTTCCAATACACACAGGGACCAATCACAGCGGAGCTTCCTTGCGGCGACCCTTACATAGATAGAAATTTGAGGGTGCGCGGCAGGCGATGTAAAGGGCCTTGCGGTGATCCATGCGTTGCGCAATTGACGTCACGTCATCACCGTAAATTCTGCGCCGCGCGACTATACACGAGGCTTCAGGCCTCACCTCCCACCACCACCTCCAGGGGGCATCACTGTCACAAAAGCTTAGCCCAGAGGAAGAGACTTGGTACACAAATGGATTCACAAATGGGACAATTTGTCTTATTTAAAAAAAAAAATCATTTCAAGGGAGACATTTCTGTGTATTTTTTGCAGAATTTAGCCAATTTTCATAACTTTTTAAAGTGTAGCAAAACGTGGCCTTCTCCAAAACTTTATGTCCAGTTTTATCTTGTTTTCAGCACTTAATCAGAAGATCTTGAAGCTGATCCTAATATGTTCAAAGACAGTTAGTTTGTGGGAAAGAACGATGCAATTGCGACTCTATAGATTACATTGTGTTGCTGTTGTGTTCCTGTCACAGGTTTTTGGTTCACATCAGTCTCTTTAAAGTCCGCTGTGGCTTGGCTTCCTCACAAAAGCTTCTGTGGAGAGAGCGGTCGCTGAGAGGAAGTCTGCAAAGCTCTGCACAGACACACAAAGATGCACAAACACACACACATACGCTGACGCACACACTTCATGCGCAGATTGCAAACAGCAGATAAATATTCAATGTTTTAGAAAGTGAAACACACACACACAGACGCAGACACGGTTGCACACACACAGATGCGCACATGCACACACAGACGCATGCACAAACACACACACACAAACACACGCATAAACTTCATGCACCGCAAGCAGCAGATGGATTTTCAATGTTATAAAAAGTGGAGAACACACAAATACATACACACGCGCACACACACACTTTATTCAAAGAAAGCAAACAGCAGATAGATGTTCACTGTTTAAGAAAGTGGCGGACACACAGACAGACGCGCGCACACACAGACAGACGCGTGCACACACACACACACACACACACACACACACACACACAGGTCCAGGACGACAAAGAATGTAATGATTTAAAGGAGCAGTATGTAAAGATGTCGCCAAAAGTGGCACTCCAGCCTCTCCCACTCTCACTGACTCAGGTTGCCAGATATGCAGACGAATCCAGCTGGGACCATAACAGCTGAATATTCAAGAGTTTTATCAACAACAAATGTATAACCAACACCTTTTTCACAAAGATAAAAATCCTGATTATATTCCTTGTTTTGTTGTTAATGATTTGAGAATCACAACGAGACCTTTTTTAGTTTTGCGCCACATGGTACTTTACCGATGAAATTAGCTCCACGCGGTGAGTTCTGGCGCCCGGATCACAGACTTTCTGATTGGTGAAATGGTGGAGGGCGGGACATCGAAATGAAAACAATAACAAGATTTAGGGGTCTGATCTTGTTTTCCTCATGCTCCTTTGGAAAAAGGATATTAGACTAAATGTCTTTGGAGAATCTTGTTTTTACACAGAATGTGTCAGATTTAGATTTACAAAAAATTGATTCAAGCATTTATTTCTTTATGTTTTGTCATATTTAGCGGTGGAGCAGCCGTGAAAACAATATCGCCAGATTCCTGTGCAGTCAAGTCCAGACCTGATTTTGTAACTCACACTATATGGTTTTGAAATAGAAAGAACAAGCAAAGTGAAAGAAAGACAAAGCTCTAACCAAGGTGTGGTACTTCCACAGGCTCATTGGAATACACAAGGAAAATTCCTGGGTTGCCCTGGTGAATTTAGTCTGCAGTAGTAGTAGTGGTCCACCTGGGATCATTTCCATGTCCATACAGGACCTCTCTGTGTGGAGTTTGCATGTTCTCCCTGTGTCTGCGTAGGGTTCCTTCAGAGAAAGTGCAGACCATGTTTTGTTCATTGTTGTTTGTATCCATTACCACGAGACAATACTACAATCTCACTCCAAATATCACGTCTGTGTAGAATCTTCAATCCTCTCGACCTGAGGGCCCCGAACCACACTTTGTGAAGCTACAGGTGAACGCTGGAGTAAACACAGTCTGTCTGAGCCATGACTCTCTGTCGTCTGGAGGAAGACTGAACGTTCAGAGCAGCGTAGTGAAGAGAGTCCTCGTCCTGCTCCGGACCCTGAGGAAACATCTATGTTATTGCACTGACATAAAACTCTGCTGAAGTACGTGCTAGAAACCTACTCAGATTAGAGGAAGAACAAGACTGGTCCATACCATTGTACACATTTCATTTCATACTAAGGTCTGGATTTGCTCCAATGACTCCGTTAACAGGTGGGAGGGGTAAACTCCTTTTGCAGATTGAAACCATTGGATCTAATTTTACTCTGACGTATGTAATGAGCCCGAGTGAGTGAGGCATTTAGCATGTAGCGTAGCGTAGCTCTAGCATTTAGCGTAGCTTTAGCCATCTCCTTTGCCACTAACGGAGCCCAAGTGGAGTAGAGCCACAACATCTTTTCTTCAATGACATATGTGAAACATTCCTCTTGCTCCTGCTTCAGCTTCTTGATATTTGGATTGAACAAGAACAGATTACTAGGATCAGACCCAGACGTGATCATGGACCAGGGTTTACACATGGTAAGACCCAGATGTACATGTAGGAGAGGATCATGGACCAGAATTTACACATGGTAAGACCAGGATAAGAAAGAACGGATCGATCACAAAACCTGGACCGTTGCCGCTTCTTTAGTCTGTCGCGGTGTTTAAAGACCTTATGCCGGGTTTAAAAAAAAACATTTTTGGATGTCAAAATTGCATGACAATGTCAATCTGAAAAAGATTCCGGCAAAAAAAATCCTATATTTTATAAAAAGAATGTGTTTTTCATGAATTTAAGTTGTCTATGCTCTAACCTGTGTGTGACGTCATAGCGGGTAACGCCCATGCACTGAAAACCATGGATCTATGCCACAGGACTGCCTTTTCTCTCTTCTCTCCACTGATGCCCAACACAATACTGCCCTCTACAGGTGACAATTGCTCACTACACATAAATTGCCGTTTTGAGAGTGAAAAAGTGTCTGAGGTGGGAATTGAACCCCAGTATCTGGATTGGTAGTCCATCAACACAACCACTGGACTACTCTCAGTGACAACAAAATGTTACAATCTAGTAGTTATGTTATACTCGCTGTACACGGCCTTGTCATCTTGAATATCCGCAAAAAAAGAACGAATACCAAATTGTAAACAACTTACAGCGTTGAAACTTACCCACTCTGACGTCACCAAGGGCTGTGAAGTTTTTTCGTCTCTAAGGGCGTTGCTATGGGGTTATTTCGATTTGGGGGGATCAGACAAAAAAACAACTGATTTTGAAACCTTTAGTAGTTCTCTTCTAATATAAAATGGTATTAAAACTGTATTTCTAAATAAATCAAACCCGGCATAAGGTCTTTAAACCAACACAGTTTTAAAACCAGGTTCCGCTAATGAGAAAATACACTTTTTGTATTGAAATGCATCGATTCATTGACTGCAAACCGTTTACACACTTTGTCATCTCAGATGACAAGGTCAGAAATTTGGGGGTAATACTGGACTCAGACCTAAATTTCAATAGCCACATAAAATCAATAACATCAGCAGCTTTTTACCATCTGAAGAACATTGCCAAAGTTAGAAATATAGTGTCCAGGGCAGACTTGGAGATTCTTGTCCATGCATTTGTCTCCAGCAGGCTAGACTACTGCAATGGCCTGCTTACAGGTCTGTCCAAACAGACCTGTAAGCAGCTGCAGTACATCCAAAATGCAGCAGCTAGAGTCCTGACAGGAACCAGGAAGTATGACCATATTAGTCCGGTCCTCAGGTCTCTGCACTGGCTTCCTGTGGCTCAAAGAATAGATTTTAAAACAGCTCTGCTTGTGTACAAGTCTCTCCATGGCCTTGCACCAGAATACATTAGTGACATGTTGGTGTCATATGAACCGGCCCGGACTCTGAGGAGCACAGGGACTGGCCTCCTGCTGGTGCCCAGAGTGAGAACCAAACATGGGGAGGCTGCGTTTCAGATCCATGCAGCTAAGATCTGGAACAATCTCCCTGAAAATGTGAGGGAGGCGTCTACTCTGTCAATGTTCAAATCCAGGTTAAAGACTGTTCTGTTTGCCTGTGCATACAACTGAAGGATTTTATCTCCATTTTTAAAACACTGCTGTCATTTATTTATTTTTTTAAATTTCTTGTGTAATTTTGAAAGTTTTAATGATTTTATTCTTTTGTGTGATTTTAATGTTCTAATTGTGTTTTAATCTTTTGTGTGATTTTAATGTTTTAATTGTGATTCTGGTGTTTGTTTTATGTGATGATTTGTGATGTGGACTGTGAAGCGCTTTGTGTTGCCCTGTGTATGAAAGGCGCTCTACAAATAAACTTTGATTGACTTTGATTGATCTCATGTTCAGAACGTCTGTCCAAATCCATGTTACTGTCAGAGTTTGGGTCTAACTTTTAAATGCTTTGCTAAAAGCACTCTGTATTGTACATTTAACCATAACCAAACATTCTTGGGCAGAAGGGGAACTTAACCTCTGAACTCACCTCTGCATTATTCGGTGTTCCGGAATCCCATTTGAGTTCTGAAACGTCAAGAGAGGATGAGTGATGAAAGTAGGATCTACACAAACAGTCCTACAGCGTCAGTCACAGTCAATAAGACGTCAACACAAGCCAAGAACCCAAGACGTTCTGACCAATGGAAAGGCTTCTTCTTGTGGTGACATTTCTATTGGTTATTCGGTAAATCAGTGTTTCCTATTGGATGAGGAGACTGTCCCATTAAAGGAGACACACAGATGCTGAATAAACCCTGTGTGTAATGACTGTGATACACACATTAAAGACTTCATCTCAGTCTCAGTCTGATGTTCCATGACTTCAGTACATGATGATTCCTTATATTTAATTCATAAAATGGCAACTGGAGGTTTATTTACACCTTGAAAAAAACTCAGTGTCTGAAGTTAAACCCAAAACCAAATCAACTTTGCATTTCTACCAAACACTAAAACGGTTTGTGTTTGTAAAAAAAAGTTATTTAGTTCTTCTATACCTGACAAATGTAAGACAGCAATTTTCTTACCGTGACGTTTTGATGGAAAACTTTTGTCTTTCTCAGAAGCGTTTAATAATTTAATAAGAAACCAAGACAAACCTTCCTATAATGTTGGATTAGATTTATATTCTAGTTGCTTTTCCTATTTCCTCCACTGCCTCTCGCCTGGGAGATTCTAGTTATTATAAATGTTATTGTTTGAACACAGGACCTTCTTGCTGTGAGGACGTAGAAGGAAATAGAACACATTCTGACATAAGACTCATTATTGTAACATTAAGGAAAGAGAAAAACATTTGGTAAAAACTTCAGACTTTGAGCTGGGAATAATGATTAAGCTTCTGGAAAGTCCACAAACCTGCAGAGAGGACGCTGTATCTGTGCTTCAGCCTGAAGACGGCTACAGTCAGAACCAGAACCAGGACCGAGGACAGACCCAAAGCTGCACTCAGGATGTAGAGGATGGGATCCACTCCGTCTACACAGAGGAGGTGTGAGATTTTACAACAGAAAGTCATTTTCTCATGAATACATTTACCGCAGAAAGTGTGAAAGCTGATCTCTACGACAAACTATGACCACAGACTTTGGGTTTTCTTTTCAAACCTGTGAGAAAGGATTTAACACTTTCAGGTGAGGGCGGTTTGAAAGAGGTCCATCCTCATTCTTGATCTCAATGTGAATGACTTGACTATCTTTTCAGCTATCTATCTCTCCTCTACAAATGAGGGTCTGTGGCAAAAGAAACCCTAATTATTTGAACATATTACAGTAGTTTTATTTATAGTTTTATACCGACCTCCTGGTCCTTACAGCGAGTTCCTAACAGAATTCTCTGACTTCATTTCAAACCTTGTTTTGGAATGGGAAAACATAGTTATAGCTGGAGACTTCAATATACATGTGGACGACAGCACTGACAGCTTAAACAAAGCTTTCAGCGCCGTACTAGATGGTGTTGGTTTTACTCAGAATGTCGAGGAACCTACTCACATTCATAACCACACCTTGGACCTTGTCCTGACCTACGGCTGTGATGTCTCCAATGTTGACATCCAGCGTCAAAGCTCGTTGCTGTCTGACCATTTCTTGATCACGTTTGATCTCGCTTTGGAGGACTTTCCTGTCCCGCAAGATAAAACCATAATGAAAAGAACCTTAAATGATAAATCTATCACAAGGTTCAAAGAACTAATACAGCCTATGTTGAATACTGCTGCAGGTGAACCTGTTCACAGCAGCTGCAGTCCCTCAGTCATTGACCAAACGGTGGGCAACACTATGGAGTCTTTAAAATCTGCATTAAATGCAGCAGCTCCTTTAAAACAGAAAACCATTAGGATTAGATCATCGTCGCCCTGGTACAGTGTTCAACTCCACACTTTAAAACAGGACGTCAGAAAATTGGAGAGGCTATATCGCCACTCCCACTCGGAGCCTGTCCACAGGGAGTGGAAAGCAGGTCTCCGAAACTACAAGAAGGCCCTTCGCGGGGCTCGAACTCAATACTATTCAACTTTAATAGAAGCGAATAAAAACAACAGTAGATTTTTGTTTGGCACCGTCGCTAAACTCACAAACTGCCATAGCGCAATCGAGCCTAAAATTCCAAGCTCACTGAGCAGTGTCGACTTTCTCCACTTCTTTAATAATAAAATTACATCCATCCGTGACAAGCTGGAGGAGGTTGCTCCTGCTGTTAGTGGTGGACAGGTTGAAGCGGCATACGTGACTTCCCACTTAGACTCTTCAGTGGGCCTTGATAAATTCATGGCTGTGAGCCAAGCAGAGGTGATCTCTGTGGTCACATCCTCAAAAGCCTCAACTTGCATGTTAGACGCAGTCCCGACATGGCTCTTCAAAGACATACTTCCTTTGATAATTGAGCCTATCGTAAATATAATAAACGCATCCATACAATGTGGCTATGTCCCACAAGCTTTTAAAACCGCGGTAATCAAACCCCTTCTGAAGAAAACAAACCTGGACCCAGAAATACTTACAAACTACAGACCGATCTCAAACCTCACTTTTATATCTAAAATCCTGGAAAAACTTATAGCTGAGCAGCTCCGCTGCCACCTGCAGGAAAATAATATGTTTGAAGTCTTTCAATCAGGATTCAGAGCTCATCATAGCACTGAAACGGCACTAGTTAAAGTCACAAATGACTTACTACTAGCTGCCGATAATGGACAAGTGTCAGTGCTGGTCCTACTGGACCTTAGTGCTGCATTTGACACAATAGACCACAGCATTCTACTGCAGAGGCTGGAATGTGATATGGGTCTTAGAGGAACAGCCCTTGGCTGGTTTGAATCCTATTTATCAGATCGATATCACTTCGTCAATGTGAATCAGGACTCGTCGCCTTATTCTGGAGTGGAATTCGGTGTGCCGCAGGGTTCGGTACTCGGACCGATTCTTTTTACTCTCTACATGCTGCCACTGGGAAACATTATTAAAAAGCATGGAATTAATTTCCACTGCTATGCAGATGACACACAGCTTTATCTGTCAATGAAGCCTAACCAGACAGATCAGCTAGAAAAGCTCAGTGCCTGCATAAAGGACCTTAAAACGTGGATGACTCTAAACTTCCTACTTCTCAACCCGGAGAAGACAGAAGTGATACTATTCGGTCCGAAGCGCCTGCGTGACTCCCTCACTAACCAGATGGTTACTCTCGATAATGTCAGTATAATACCCAGTAACACTGTGAGGAATCTTGGAGTCATTTTTGACCAAGACCTCTCCTTCAAGGCTTATATAAGCCAAGCAACTAAAACGGCGTACTTCTACTTACGGAACATCGCTAAAATTAGGAATTTCCTTCCTAAAAGTGACGCGGAAAAACTCATTCACGCGTTTGTCACCTCAAGGCTCGACTACTGTAACGCTTTACTGGCAGCGTGCCCTAAAGCCTCTTTGAAGAGCTTCCAGCTCGTTCAGAATACAGCAGCTAGGATCTTAACAGGTACCAAAAGGAGGGAGCACATAACTCCGGTGTTAAAATCACTCCACTGGCTCCCTGTGGAGTACAGAATAAAGTTTAAAATCCTTCTCTTAACATATAAAGCCATAAATGGCTTAGCTCCCTCTTATCTCCAAGACACGTTAGTGTCGTATCAACCAGGTCGAGCGTTGCGCTCACAAAACGCCAGACGTCTGGTGGTCCCTAAGGTCTCAAAGGTCACTGTTGGTGGCAGAGCATTTAGCTACCAAGCTCCTTTACTGTGGAATCAGCTTCCCATTTATGTTAAGGAAGCAGATACGGTCTCCACATTTAAGGCCAGGCTTAAAGCACTTTACTTTAATTTAGCATATAATTAGGTAATATATAATATGTAGTGTATATATTATATATATATATATGCTGTATTATGTTATATATTATGTTATATATTATTCAATAATGTATTGTGTTATGTTGTATATTATGTTATATATTATGCTGTATGTTATTCTTTATTCAAGGCTAGGTTTAAAACAGTCCTCTTTAGTTTAGCATATGGCTAGGAAGGTAAGACTCGGGGAAGGTTAAACTCCTCAGAGTGTCAGTCAAGCTGCATAGGGAGTCAGTTTGCTGGGAGAAGTATGGTAACTTGAGCACTATCCTCTCCTCCTTCCTACTTTATCTGTTTGGCATTTTTAGGATTCTGACTGTAGTTTGTTCATTGCTATTCACCCGTTGTCCCATTGTCTGTTTCATGGTACGATGACGGGATCTCTGAGCCTGGCCTCCTCCATCTACACCTGCGGACTGCCCCGCCCGACCCGCCTGGGAGTGCTTCAGTCCTGCACCGGACCTGTCCACGTTCAGCGGCCACTGGTCCACGTTCTGTAGCTAGCTTAGGTCCTAGATCATTAGCCTGTCCGTCCGGAGGAGCGGATCCCTTTCTCATATGGGTCTCCCTCCCTGTGGGTTTCCCTAGTGCTCCCCAAGGTTTCTCACGTTTTCCCACTGGGTTTTTTAAGAGTTTTTCCTTGTCGATGCAGGAGGGTCTTGTTGGACAGTTAGTGTCCAACAGAAAGGATTGGTGATGATCAGGACACTTTAGCATTCTACAACATGTATGGACATTTTCTTCTGTGTGTGCTTTATATTCTTCATGTGTTTTAACTGTTGATTCTCTGACCTGTGTTGGTGATTTCAATGGTTTTGTTAAGTCCTCTGAGATGACTTCTGTTGTGACCTAGGGCTATACAAGAATAAATTGTATTGTATTGTATTGTATTGTATTACAGTTTTCTAGCTCACCTCTGATCCTGACCCTGGTCCCGTTCCCAAACAGGACTTGTCCACAGGCGGCCACAGCGCAGTAGTACGTCCCAGTTTGATCTGAGCTCACGTTATGAATGTGGAGGTCGTAGAAGCAGGAGTTTGTTCGACTGTCCGTGCTTTTCTCGCACTGATCACTACTATTCCCACGACTGTAGAGAACTCCTGCTGTGGATTCTTCAGACTTCTTGAACCAGTGAACGCTGTGTGCTTCATTACAGCTCCCAGTCTGGACGCTACAGTTTAAACTCACAGATTCTCCTTGATATAGGTCCTCACTTTCTGACTGTTGGATCTTAAAAGTCAGATTCTGCCTCATTACAACAACATGAATGGTTTCAGTGATGTCCATCTGGTATACGAAATGGCTCACACAAAGATAAATCCCTGAATCAGACGTTTGGACATTTGTAATATCCAGGTCAAAATGCTCGTGTTTAGTTCTCAGTGAGAATCGTCGGCTGGTGTTAAATTCTCCAAACAAAGTTGGGGTGCTCTGATATCTGCCCAAAGACGAAACACAAACTGTCTTTTTGCCTAAACTTTGCTTGTACCAATAATATGTTTCTCTATACTTGCTGACAGCTTTGTCGAAACAGGGCAGAGTGATGTTGTCTCCAGGAGCAGCGAAGAGGAAATGGTTTGTTTCTTGAAGATTCACTTGAACTGAAGATCACAACAACCACAAAATTGTCTGATTTTAACTCATTTCAACAGATGATAATGTTCATAATTCTAAAGTAACTCACCGTTAGTGACCAACACAAGACTGAAGACCAACACGAGACTGAAGACCGGCAGAACTCTGAACGGTCGTCCCATGTTGAGATTCAGGTGCAGACTGGAAATGGTTGATCCCTCCTCTGCTCTTTACAGTCAAGCTTGCATCTGATTGGCCGACAGGATGAAAGGATTTGTGTTGTTGTATTATTATCATCATCGCATGAGGCTCTGATGGAAACATTCAAGTACAAATAAGTCGTGAGATCTATGAAATATTGTTGTGCTGCTCAAGTCCAGAGAGAGAGAGATTGACTCGATGAGTTGCAGCCTGTTTTCTACTGGAGTGGATTTCTCCTTCACTGAGGTCCTCCTGTTCTGGCTGACGAGGTGGTGATGGGGAGGAGGAGGGTTTCTGCACAATATGAAAGCTCGATGACAAAGCAGGGCAGTGCTTAAATGTTTCCAGGTGACATATTGGCAAACTGCTGATGCAGCAGCAGAGGGAGGACTGAGAGCAGTTAGCTTGTGTCCTAGTGATCTGTAGGTCTGTCAGTTTAAAAAACCCAAAACATTTCAGGAAAATTCTAAAGTCATGAATGCCACCATCATATGTAAATCAGATGGATGTATTTAATTCCAAAATTAACTTTGGGCCATCTTTAATCTCTCTGTCATTTACAGAAGTATATAGCTTTTTGAAATTAAGAAATGGAATACTTTCGGAAAAAAACCCTGATGCCTAAAGGATTAACCTCCACTTTAAACTGTTGTTCAGAAAATGTCAAATATGATAAGTGTATGTGACCTTCTGAAAACACATGTGGGACCAGGTGTTGCATTCTGTTTTTGTCGTGGCCGATACTCTCTGTTCAGACTGTGCTTTGTCTCTTTCTGAAACTGTATGACTTCCTGAGTCAAACCACTTTGATGCAAAGACACAGACTCTTAATGTTCACAGATTACAGCCGTCACAGAAGAGGTCATTTTACAAACTGAGAAAAACATGTTATTATAAGATCCAGTTCCGCTCTCCTTGTCTTTGAATGACTAGAAACCCTTCTCGAGGTGCTCCACAGCTGTTCACCAACAGCAGGAACTAGTCTTTGCGGAGACAGTCTCCGAGCAGGGACTCTGATCCATAATCCACAAACGCACAAATGCCTAGTTTTACATTAGAGGTTTTTTGTGTAATGCATTGAGACCAATGCAGTAAAGTATACAGTACTTTAGTAGGGTGATGTACAGTATTGAGTTGATATAATTTGTAACCTTTCAGTACTTCCTGGTTGTTGATAAAGCTTTGTTGAGAACAAAATCAGTTCCATTGAGCTTCACAGAACAAAACAGTACTGTACAGTTCTTTACAGTACTGTAGTGTGTTGCTTCCAATCTGAAAGTGTGTTCACATGATGCAAGTGTGTGTCATTTTGTCAAAAGATTGTATAATTTTGAGGTTGTGAATGGTTTATGTCCCAGTGTTGTGTCGGGTCTTCTTGTTTGTAGAGTTTTGGGACAATGAGCGAAGCAAAAGGAAAGAACTGCAACACAAAACCATTGATCATGACCAAATTGTATTCTACCTTTTAGGCTGTAAACATGTCTCAGACTACTGGTGTACATGAATAACTGCAGTGAATAGACACAGAAATGTTTACATACAATTCCAAAGTGTGTGTGTGTGTTCTCTGTGCGTGTAGTCAGTGTTGTGTGTGTGTGTTGTCAGTGTTGTGTTTGTGTTGTCTGGATAAATATAATCTGATTACACATACGTACATTTCCTATGGTGGTCACTTTTGACAGGAACACTACAGATGTAACAAGGTTCACTAAAACACTTAAAATTCAAGTAAAGTGATACTCATCTCTTTTGTATCTTCAGGAGCACAGTGTGGAGGATATCATAAAGTCTAGTTTGACCCGAACACGACTCGAAGGTTAAGAAAGCGAGGTGTGTTGCAAAGTGTGCAAATAAACAGCATTATGTCAAAGGTAGAGGAGGATTTTTCTACTTCCAGGTGGATCATCAAGACTATCCTCACAACTGTCAATCATTCTGGTGATACGTGCTCGTCAAATAAGACCAAAGAGATTTGTTCAAAAATTGGCGGTTCTTTCCTGAAATATTGGAAAATCCTCCTTTATACTTTTAAGACATAGACCATATCTAATATCAGAATTTTATTGGGTTTATTTCAGAGGTAACTCACCTGTGACCCTGAGCTTGGTCCCGCTCCCGAACAGGACTTGTCCACAGAGGTCCACAGTATTATGTCCCAGTTTGCTCTGAGCTCATGTTATGAATGTGGAGGTTGTAGAAGCAGGAGTTTGTCGGGTTTGTTTAATCGCTCTTGCACTGATCCTCGCCGTAGAGCACTGCTGCAGACTCTTCAGATTGTCTGAACCAATGGACCCTGTGTGGCCCCAGACACGTTCCAGAATCAACCTCACAGCAAACTCTTCTCTTCACTGAACTGCGTCCTGACTTTGTCAAGAAATAAGCTCGACTCTGATTGGCCGAGCTGAAGTCGCACCACACAGTGACATGAACATGTAAAGATCGGGGAGATTGGTGTTTTTCCTCCACATATACCCACAGACACAGACACACCTACAACATCCTCATTGGTTTGAGAGAAACGTAGCGAACAGAGGCAAACTGCCTTTTTCTAAACCTACAAGGTGTAATTTTTGAGCGATGGCAGGTCACTCACTTGGCAAGGCAGGTCTTATTTGTATAGCACAGTTCATACACAAGGAAACTCGAAGGTGTTTCCTTGTGTATGATCAAAACAAGATAGAAACAATCACACAAGGCATTAAATCATTTATAATCACTGTACATTAAAAAGAGTAAAGATACAGTCCCTCAGTTGTATACACAGCTAAACAGAACTGTTTTTTTACCTGAATTTGAATATTGTCCGAGAAAGAAGCCTATCTCACATCTTTAGGAAGTCTGTTCCAACTGTGGTCTCCTCACCACTAACACACAGCAGAGCTAAAGCTGTATGTTCCGTTCTATAGGTCACTGGTTCCCAAACCTTTCTGGCTGAGACTTCACTGAAGAATAGATAGTAATAATAGACTAGCTGAATCCATTGAAGTCTTATTATGGGAGTCATTAGTTGTGGCCTTTGATATAAGTTCACTGAAATGCTGATGTCTATGAGAGAGAGATATATGTAGTAAGTATTGTATAGATGCGGTGGTGGAGGCAGTGAAGCTACAGGTGAACGCTGGAGTAAACACAGTCTGTCTGAGCCGTGACTCTCTGTCGTCTGGAGGAAGACTGAACGTTCAGAGCAGCGTAGTGAAGAGAGTCCTCGTCCTGCTCCTGACAATAACAAACACAGACACACGTTTCTGTCTCTTCACAATGTAATTCATCTCAATAACACACTCTAGTTTTAATGAGACAAAGAGTGAAAAGAAGCTAGTTCTGCTTAAACCCAGGTTTTTCGGTGGTAGACTTCCACCTTCATCAGAGGAGACACGTGACTGTGACGAGTCTCTGATCTGCTGCTGTTACTGATGCGTCTCTGGAGAAGTGAGTCCTATGTGTGAGTCAAGGTGAAGGCCCCCTGGTCTCTGTTGATGGTCTGAGAGCCCGTTTCTTTTATTTCAATGATCAGAGACATGTTGTTCCATCACGTGTCTCCTCTGATGAAGCTGGAAGTTTACCGCCCAAACATGTGGTGATTAAGCAGGACTAGCTTCTTTACACTCTTTGTCTCATTAAAAAGACTTTTTCGGCCTTAAACACAAGAATACATACATTTGATTTTAACATAATTTACTCACCTCTCCGTTTGTCGTCGACAGCATCCTGGAATTGAGTTCTGTAATGAAACATGAAATTCGGCTTTTGGCTTTTCTCTACTGAAAAATGACAATACTAATCATTATGAATTACACTGTGGTGTGAGTGCAGCAACAGCTGTCCAGGGGCAGACTGACACAACTAAGGCTGCCAGTCTGCACCAACGGACCACCACCAACACTCACTCACATGTCTCATTCATAAAGTATGAGTATGTATAGAAATGTCACATCAAGTTCATAATCTGTTAAAGCTTGACTTGAGAAATTTGGTCCAAAAATGCTGCTTTGGGAAGTCAAGTTATTTCTTGTACTCTAGTTATTTCTTGCACTCAGCCACCGGCGGCACGGTGGCTGAGTGGATAGCACTCTCGCCTCTCAGCAAGAAGGTCCTGGGTTCAAATCCCGGCCGGACCAGGGCCTTTCTGAGTGGAGTTTGCATGTTCTCCCCGTGTCTGCGTAGGTTTCCTCCAGGTACTCCGGTTTCCCCTACCACTAAAAATATGTCCAATAGTTCTGGCATGCGCCTCCTGTACTGGCGACCCCGCTCCCATCTCTGTGTGGAGTGAGAGACAAATGCCCAAAATTAACAATTGTAAACCGCTTTGAGACTCAGATCTGCAGTGAAAAGGCGGTATATAAATAAAAACTTACTAACTTACTTACTTACTTGTAAAACATGTTCTGGACATAGTTTGGAAAACAGTTAAATTAAAATGAGATTCCACAGCATAAGTTCAAAGTCAGCCACACACCTCAGCTATGATACGAGCAGTGAAAAGGATTGGGGAAAGGATTATTACCTGTGGAACCCTTCATGTTTTTCCTCATGGCTCTGATCAGTAAGAAAGCCAGGAGCATCACCAGGACTGAGGCCAACGCCAAGGCTCCACTCAACACCTTCACAATAAATCCATCTGAAACACCATCTTTAAACAAAATAGAGGATGTGATTGGAATGATTGTTTTCAAGGAGCACAAACAGAAGCTGAAACTACTGCCACAAATGTGATCACAGAATCAGTAATAGATTCTTTTGGAGTTGGAGCACAGTTCGCGTCATAGTTGGGAATTATTAGAAGGTAAATCCCCAAACTGCTGAAGAGGCAGTGTTTCAGATTAATGCAGCTAAATTCTGGAACAGTCTTCCTGATAATGTGAGACAGGCTTCTACTTTGATCATGTTAAAATCTAGGTTAAAACAGTTTAGCTGTGCATACAACTGAAGGATTGTATCTTCACCGGGAGTCACACTACTTCCACTACTTTATGCAATCACCAGGGTTTGTGTGTCTGCATGTTAGTTAGTTTGTTAGATAGTTAGCAGATTTTTTAAAAATGGGAACAAATGGGGACAATTTGGAGAAGGAAGCACATCACTCTCTGGATCCACAATTGTTTAAAATGAACTCTTGGTGAAGTTTTGTGCTCTACGAGTGATTTTCTAGTTAACCATGTAACTGTCTAATTCCAGCCAAATGAGACAAAATAACTCACCTCTGACCCTGAGCCTGGTTCCGTTCCCGAACAGGACCTGTCCACAGGCGGCCACAGCGCAGTAGTACGTCCCAGTTTGCTCTGAGCTCACGTTATGAATGTGGAGGTTGTAGAAGCAGGAGTTTGTTCGACTGTCCGTGCTTTTCTCGCACTGATCACTACTATTCCCACGACTGTAGAGAACTCCTGCTGTGGATTCTTCAGACTTCTTGAACCAGTGAACGCTGTGTGCTTCATTACAGCTCCCAGTCTGGATGCTACAGTTTAAACTCACAGATTCTCCTCGATCTACATCCACAAGTTGAGTCTGAAGGACCTCAGCCGTTAGCTTGGAACTCTGAACAACCACCGAGATGCTTTCCAAGAACACATTATGGTGTAAAAAGCACCGCACACAGTGATAAACGGCAGAATCATTCACCCTCACGCTCTGGAAGTGCAGGTTATAGACGGAGTCGTTGTTCTCGACTGTAAAGCGATCCCCGGTGCCAAATCCTTCATGAATTTCGGTTTTCTTGTCGACCCTCTTGTCGTATAGAAAGAAGGACGAGATGACAGTTGGTTTCTTACCCAGACTTTGCTTGTACCAGTAAAGATTTGCCCCAATGCCGGCGTTTTTGTCAGAAAAGCAACGCAATGTTATGTTATCTCCAGCTGTGGCTGAGAGGAAGCTGCTGTTCACCCATGGCCCGTTCATCTGAGCTGAAAAAAACAACATTTATTTTACAACAAGTCCTCATTCTGTAGAGATTGTCTGAAGAACTCACCGGTAGTAGCCAGCAGTAACCAACACACCAGGCTCAGAGGTTGCAATGCTCACTCGAGTTCTGGTGAAATGAGGTGTACGGTCAGACTCACCTCTTTTGAGACTCAAGCTCGCGTGTGATTGGTGGATCAAAAGACACACTGTACAATGAGGTTGAGAAAGCGAAGTCACGTGATTGTTTTTTTTTCCACTCCTTTTTCCATTCAGAGTTTGGTAAACATTGACCTAGAACCAACTTTCTCAGAAGTTGGTTCAGATGATAAAAAGTACTTTGGTGACTTTGGCCATCTATAGAATATTGTTGTTGTTTTTGGCCTTTATTTAAACAGGAAAATCACACTGAGAGGAGGGTGTTATCACAGACTATTGTACATGTTTTTAGTGGTAGGGGAAACCGTAGTGCCTGGAGGAAACCTACGCAGACACAAGGAGAACATGTAAACTGTAAACCTGAAGGTGGAATTGAACCCAGGACCTACTCACAAGGTTCTAACCACTGCTCCACCGTGTCACCCATTTAAAAAGGGGATTTATGGAGGATTTTGGAATTTTTCAGATTTCACACAACAGCACATTGTATTGATATCCCGTTTCCATGACAACGTGGAAACAAGCCAACACATGCAGGCTGTTCACAATAACGCCCCGTACCCACCGCACGCGCAGTGAGTGACGCGCAGCTCTCCTCGGACGAGCGCACTTGCTGAGAAGCGTTTGTATACCAACCGGGAGCGACGCGCAGCAGAGAGGAGACGCTCTCTGGGGACAGGCGAGAGACGAGTAAACAACCTTGAAGCTCCACCTACCTGTTTGTTTAATCGTATTTTCCTCATCAATTGCAATATGGGTAAGTTACATACGTGTATAACTTTAGACACATTCATTTTGTCAGTAAACGTTTTTTAACTGCCAATTCAACAGCAACGTGATTTAAATAGCATCATTATTTGACTTGTTAACATATTTGTTTTGCTAAAATGTATCTAAACTATGTTATTGATAAATTCAACATTCCTCTGAAACTTCATGTTTCCTTTATAGATCAACGTGCTAAAAGAAAGGCCATTGCAGTACTTCTGCTGTTGAGACTCAGAGGAAGGCAGAGAAAGAAGAGAACGTGGATTCACCCCATGAACCAGAGAAGAGCGCAGTTTGGAGCCTACTACCACCTAGTGGCTGAACTCAGGATTTATCCCAAAAAACATCTCCAATATATCCGAATGTCTGTGGAACAAATGGATCAACTGCTCTCCATTATTGGTCCCACAATCCGCCGCCAGGAGACCAACTACAGAAGGAGTGTGTGTCCTTCCCAAAGACTGGCAGTAACATTAAGGTATGCTACATTGAATGTATTTATTCAATAAACAATAAGACATTAAACATGCAGCATCATACATACAATCCTCACAAAACAATAAAGATCATTTCAACTCGGTATATAATAATTCACCCATCTCAATTAATAATAACAATAGCAATAAGAACAACAAATACATATACAAATATGGCAGTCCAAAAACAATACAGCAAACATTTGGAAAAATTACAAAAAATTAATGCACATACAGTACACTCACTCTCAAGCTCGGCCTCTGTTTGGCCTCTGTCACATCCTTAAAAGAGAAAGGACCCATACTCAGATTTCAGCCCAGGGAGCCCAAGTGTGGCTCACTCAGGTCGGAAAGGAAACTTGCAGGGCTGTACACCTGTTGCTGGTGTGATTGCTGGTGCGGGTGCAGTTCTGAGTGCTGTGGTGGGTGCTGGTGTGATTGCTGGTGTGGGTGCAGTTCTGAGTACTGGTGTGAGTGCTGTTGAAGGAGCTGTTGTGGGTGCTGGCGTGGGAGCGGGTGTGGGTGCTGTGGTGGGAGCTGGTGTGCATGCTGCGGTGGGTGCTGTGGACAATATGCTCTTCGGTCTTCTTCCAATTCACCTATTAAATGAAGGATCCTAATTTGTATGGCTGCTCTGGACGGTTGCGATAGTGCGCTAACTCGTGGGACTACACTCATGAAGAAGTGGAATATGGACTCGTTCTCTGTGGGTATGTGGGGGGGAGGGGGGGCTGATGGCGGCTCCTTTATTATGTCCAAAATGTGTTGTTCCACGGAGGTTGTTGGGCGTCTCTGTTCCATTAATCTTCTCCTTGATTTTGAACGTTGGGCTTGTGGGTTGTGTGGAGTTGATTGGGTGGTGACTTGTGAGGAATGAGGTGTGTCTGCAATCGGTGTGCTAGAGCGTGATGGGGATGGGGGGGTTCTTGTGCTGGAGTGAGGTGGGGATGGGGGGGTTCTTATGAGCCGTTCTTCTGTGTCATGTGGGTTTGGAGATTGTGGCTGTGATGCTTCCTCATCTGCACCCTCCTGGACATTGTCGTCTGCAGACGTGTCTCCATGTGAGTCCCTGGAGCTGTGACAGTCATAAACCAAAATATTAATCAGTAAGTATCTTCATAAAAAACTCAAAAGTATTTTTTTTTTAAACTTCTACCAGCAATAGAAACTAAAACTACATAAAAAACGTAATGATATATTCTTATACTTTACCTCCTTGGTTTAAGATAAGGCTTCAAAAAAGCCATTTCCTTTTCGTGCCTCCAGTCACGCTCACTTCCTCCTCCGGAGCCATTTGGAGGGAACTTCTTAAATTTCACATAGCAGCCCCTTCCACCTCCGCTTGCATTCTTCAACTGTAATGAGAGAAAAAAACTTAAATGTAAATGCATTGATAATCTTTTAATGTTATATATTTATATATAGATTCCTGGCCTCCGGTGAAAGTTTCACCAGTCTGGCCTTTCAGTACAGGCTTGGTGTCACAACTGTGGCTCGGATTGTCCAGGACACAATGGAAGCCATAGAAAAGCTAATGCTCAGGAGCCAGATTCCAAGGCCCACTGAGGACAGCTGGAGAAGCATCGCTGCAGCCTTTTGGGAGAAATGGAATTTCCCAAACTGCATCGGTGCTATAGATGGCAAACATATTGACATCAAAGCACCACCTAACTCTGGAAGTCTTTATTATAATTACAAACACAATTTTTCTATTGTCCTCATGGCCTTAGTGGATGCCAACTACAAATTCAAATACATCCACGTGGGAAACTATGGACGAGCCAGTGATGAAGGTGTTTTCTCAGCCTCAAACCTGAAGAGAGGCCTGGAGAACAACACCTTTCATGTCCCACAGCCCAAACCATTGCCTGGAGCTGAAGAGCTGGGAAGCATCCCACATGTGATCGTGGGGGATGCAGCATTCCCCCTAAAGCCCTATGTAATGCGTCCATTTGGTGGCACCAACCTGACCGCTCAAAAGAAGGTTTTCAACTACCGTTTGTCTCGGGCGAGGATGGTAGTGGAGTGTGCCTTCGGCATAATGGCTGCGAGATGGAGGGTGCTTCTCACAAAAATTGTCCTATCACCACAACTGCTGCATTTTACACAACTTCCTGAGCAACAATGCAGATAATCAGATGTGGCTGGCAGAGGCTAGAGACAGAGGCCTGGATATACACAGGGTGCAACAGGGGATGGGAGGGCGAAGAGCCAGTGAGGCGGCTTCATCTGTAAGTAGGGTTGCCAACTTGAGAACAAAAAAATAAGGGACACCATTTGGGTGGATCGGTAGACTATTTTCAATCTACACAGTAATCATGAATTTCATAATCAGTTTTTAGAATGTAATTTATTGACTACATATAAAAAAAACAACTCCTTAGTCAAAAATGAAATTGAAAATTGAGTACTTAATGCATTCTTATTACTAATAAAGAATATAAAAAAGGCAAATGCTGTAACTTACATTACAGTAAAGACCATTTACTGTAAAAGCAAATAAAAAAAGAAAAACATATGTATTTATGAAAAAAACTCACAAATGTTGAAATCAAAGCCTGTAGCAGTTAGACATGGTTATATTTATATTGCCTGAGAGTTTAGTGCGTGTACATGGCTTCAGTAAACGCTATTGTTCGTTTACAGCTGGTCTGTACATTTGTTGACGCTTCCTTAGTGCTTTTTTTGGCGCTTGCAGTGCCTTGGATTCAATGGATTTCTCTGCATTGAAACAGCGCACTGGATTTGAAAAAAACAACGTAGAGATGATCATTTTAGCACAGTGACTTTTTTTTTAACAAAGTAGCTTTTGTGAACTATTGACTGCGGAAGTCCGACTCTGGGAATATGACGCTACTTTACCAAACTTCTGCTGTGATGATGCTGCGGGAGCGGCCCACGCTGGCGATTGTCAACATTAAACCAATGTATGTGATCAAGTCTACGCCGCTTTGACACTGATTGGCCGAAAGGTAGACGCTTCAACTGTGATTACTTTGTGTGCGTGTGTCAAGCGTATACAGTCTATGGTCGCGCGTGTGACATGCAGTGAGTGATGCATTCAAGGTGGCTCTGAAAATACGGGACAAAAGCCGTCCCGTATCGATTCAATACGGGACGCACATAGTGTTTCTATAATACGGGACAATTCCGTATTTCAAGGGACGGTTGGCAACCCTATCTGTAAGGGACAAGCTGTGCACCTTCTTTTCACAGAACCCATTGTAGTTTATAGAAATCTTTGCAAATGAAATGTAAATTTTAAAATGTGTTTGTTTTTTATAATACAATTGCTTGTTGTGACCTTGTTTGTTTTGATGTCAATGCAACATTAAACATTGATTAGTTATTTTTATATTGAGTTGTTAGTAATAACTTATTTGCAACTTCACTCTAAATATGATAGCCCTATAGCTATAGTGTAGCTTTTCGCAGAACCCATTGTCGTTTATAGGAATCTTTGTAAATGAAATGTACATTTAAAAATGTGTTTGTTTTTATTAATGTAATTGCTTTTTGTGACCCTGTGTTGTTTTGATGTCAATGTAACATTAAACATTGACTTGTTATTTTTATATTGATGAGTCGTTAGTTATTTTCAACTGCACTCTAAATATGTAAAATTCCTATGAGTATATAACCGGAAAATGGCTATGGTGAGCGGTGCTATGCAAAACTCCTCTAGATGGAGCCAGCTGCATAATTAGCTGATCACAACTTTTCGTACCATTCCGTATATATGTATACTTCATAGCACTATCTAACACTGATATAAATACACAAATATCATGTATTAAGTTGTTTAGTACTTACTCGTGGTGTACCAAATTAGAAATAGCTACGCTATTGATTAGCTAAACATACGCAAAGACGATGACATGATTAAAGTAGTTATACATACCATCAGCGCCGACAATCGTTGCCACTGAACGCCAGGCTTTGTCCTTCTTTCGATTATCTTTGTAATTTGGATCTTGTGCCGAATAAAGCGCTGGAAAATGCTCTACAGCTTCGATGAGTTTCGCGTCCTCCATCTCAGCTGTGACACCGGGGAAAAGCCAACAGCTGTGTCCCCCGGGAAAAAATGCCCCCTACGTCATCTCCATATACTGGATGTCATCCCACAGACAAATGCGGTGGGAAATGTACTTCATGTATTTTACACAGTGACAAGAATATGGACATGGGGTGTCTTCAAAGCACAAACATGTTTCCCATGTGTTTTGACTGGGAGACGCGTCACTGCGCGAGCAAAAATACGCGAGTGTCCTATTTTGTCCAGACGAGCGCGGCTCGCTGCGCGGCGCTGCGCTTCTCGTGCTGTGGGTAGAGTCCTCGCTGATAACATGGGCGCGTATTTCAAATCGATCTTATGATCTGTAGAGCCAAGGAGGATAAGAAGACATCATATCCTGATTTTTATTTGTCTAATGCAAGGCTTCATGTTTCAAACAAAATAAAATATCTTGGGCATATATTGACAGAAGACTTGTCTGATGATGCTGACATAAACAGGCAATGTAGAACGTTGTATGCCCAGGCAAACACGCTGGCGCGTAAATTTGGCTTTTGTACGGACAAAGTGAAAATGATGTTGTTCAAATCATATTGTACACCTCTGTACACAGCGCACCTTTGGTCGAACTATAAAAAAGGAACTTTCCAAAGGTTGCAGGTGGCCTATAACGACGCTCTGCGTGTGCTTCTCAGGAGGCCGAGATGGACCAGTGCGAGTGAGATGTTTATCACTGCTGGAATAAACACGCTGCAAGTACGTACGTACGTTTTTATTTATATACCGCCTTTTCACTGCAGATCTGAGTCTCAAAGCGGTTTACAATTGTTATTATTTTTAGGGCATTTGTCTCTCACTCCACACAGAGATGGGAGCGGGGTCGCCAGTACAGGAGGGACATGCCAGACCTATTGTACATATTTTTAGTGGTAGGGGAAACCGGAGTACCCGGAGGAAACCTACGCAGACACGGGGAGAACATGCAAACTCCACTCAGAAAGGCCCTGGTCCGACCGGGATTCGAACCCAGGACCTTCTTGCTGAGAGGCGAGAGTGCTATCCACTCAGCCACCGTGCCGCCCTAGCCACACGCAAGCCACACTGCGGACGCTTATGTACCGTTTCATATGCCGTTTGAATAAGTCTGTTAATACAGTAATTGGTTCATTGGTTGATGTCACCTGTAGTGCCATTCGCTATCAGTCGCTAATGTGGAGGCACTGGTATAGCTGTCTTTTTAAAGGGACTGTGTAATTTATTTGTTTGTAGTTTAATGTTGTTTGTGATGTCGCTGTCTTTTTTGGACCTTGAGTCCATAATAAAGTTGAATTGAATTGAATTGAAATCTGCGCGGCGCGCCGCTGCGCGACTCTCAGCGCTTCACAAGACGCGTGCGGTGGGTATAGGGCGTAAGACTAAGAGGGGGGGTTTCTTTCCCAGCGCAGGTTTTTGTGACAAACTGTTTACAACTGAGAGAACTTCAGTCTTGGCAGTAACAGCAGATCCAGGTATAGCTGTGAAAAAGTCATGTTTGACCCAAATTCTCATCTTTTTGAATTATGAAAAGTGTGCACAGTGGTCTTTAGTATTTTGTGGTCTCAATCTTTAACTGTTTTTCTCATTTCTCGTGTGTGCCGTTTTGTGTGGGGTTTTTTTCTACAGTGTGTTTCTAATGTTCTGTGTGTATACTCCAACATAATCATACAATACAATACAATACAAAACTTGGCAGTGGTGATTTCAGTTGGTTAGAAAAGTGTGAGGATTTTACAGACTGTAAACATTGAACTGAACGAAACCCCTGCGATAAACGAGGGACTAATGTGTTTAAACGACCTCCAAGATTTACTTTTATTTTATAGAGGGATCCTACGGTCACGTGACTAGCAGCCACGGCAGCCATACTGGAGGACAACCTCGGCGAGTAACAGCCCTGCTAGCTATCTATAACTGGACGTTCAAAACTAGAACTCTCTCGAACTACATGAAAACTGAACATAGAATTAGAAACTTCAGCAGTTACTGACCCAAATATATATGCGTCTACTGTGAGGAGCCGTATATTTTATTAATAAATACTAGTACGGGGCACCCTCGAGCACGGCTCAGTCGTTCACATGTCTGCTGGCCTTCGGTAAGTCAGATACCCTGTGAACCGGGTGAGGTCCTGTGTGAGACCAAATATATAACAGCTATGCTACAAGCTAAGCTACAGTCTATGGAGCAACCCCACGTTGCAGTCAGACAGATATGTTTTATCCTTAAACTTCTGTTTGTTTCGGAATAACACTAAATCCGCCATCAAATTGATTTCACTTAGCAGAAATGAAATGATCCGAGCATATTCGGGCGCTCTGGGGGCTATTAGTTTTTTGTTGTTGCGTATGGTTGTGCCATTTCTCTCTCGTTTCTTTGAGATGTCTTCTGTTTTTGAGCCGTGTGAAGTAAGGACGGCTGGCAGTCGGTAACACAACTTATTTTCTCTGTCTCTCCTTTTGCTGCAGCCAAAAACGGCAAAAATTTTGAACATGTTTATGCGGTCCCGGGTGCACGCCACTACCATACAGCGTTTGCTTGTCCTCCAGTATGGCGGATGCCCCGCGAGTTCGAGGCATCGTGACGTCACGTGAGATATCTCTATACATGTTTTACTGTCAGGGCCTTTGTTCTGTTCCAGTGGGGCTGGTGTTGGTGTCTGATCTCAATGGTCTATATATTTTTATTTTAGATCTGCTGATTGAGAATTGAAATCGTGTCCATTTCCAGTAACAACAGATGTTTGTGGGTTGTGCTCCCCTGGCATGTATCTCAGTATTGCTATGAGACTGTATTTTGTAACGGCAGATGGTAATAAACTCTCAAACACTTGAAACACTCTGATGATACGAGCTGTAACTTTGCATCGGGTGGAATGCTCCTTGAACAATGTCTGTCTCTGCTTTCGAGGGTTATCTTTTTCTTGTCTTTCCTGTTTGGAGCGATCTGAACGCACACCTGCAGACCTGAGCCCCAGTGTCAGGGCTGGACTGGCCATTGAGCGTACTGGGCAATGCCAAAGGACTATTCTCTGCTTATTGTGTGCGTGTCTTTGCGTAACCAGTGTACAAAATAAATACAGCGCTGCAAGAAACAGTCCACATCTTCCTAAAGCGCAACTAAACTCTCTAAATTAAAGCTGGGGTACATACAGTTCATGTTGGTTGTGCCCAAAAGTAAAATGTTGTGAACAAATCAAGCAGATTTAATGACAGTCATTGGCTGACATAATACATTTCAGACTTCTTTGAAATGTCCCTCATCCCTGTTACAAACAATAGTTGTGGTACTATGTCCATCTCCCTCATTCTGTAGTGACATCAAATGTGATTTTTTTTTTGTCTTCTTATGTTTAAGGCTCTCAAAAAAAGTAAAGACAGCTAGTAATGTTTAATTACCTGATGTGTTTCGGCGGTACACGTGTCACCTCAGATGAAGGCGGAAGTCTACCGCCGAAACATGTCAGGTAATTAAACAGTACTAGCTTTCTTAACTTTCTAGTCTTATTAAAAGAACCTTCAAAGCCTGTAGTGACATGTTTATTACTCTCAATGTAGACCATTGCACTTTATTTTCATTGTAGAACATACATTCTGAGCGTCTACTATATGTGCTTCCGTATACTGTATTAAAAAACGTTTTTAAAAAAACATGAAAAAAAAACGGTCGGGTTGTCAAGGAGAAAAACATTCCCGAGCTGTTTTTTGGTCCCAGTCCAGCCCTGCCCAGTGTGTAAAGAGCAGAGACTGAGGATGTGGAATCCCAGGGTCAGTGTCGCCTGCAGGGCTTTGATGTGAGCGTTAACTGAGGATACAATGTGACGTTTGAGTTTCATAGCTGCTTATGTCTCTGTCTTTGTTCTGTAAGGACCAAACACTGAGAAACTCTCTGTCACGTGGGATGAGATTAATGAAGGAAACCAAAATGCAGGACTTGAAAATGAAGCTTAAAGATGCTATACTTGATTTATTTTCTAATGAGTCCATATTACGTATTACTACGTACAAGTTGTATTAAAATCCATAACTTAATTGAAAACTTGAGATAATTGATTCAGCTGTGTATGAATTCAGGCCGTAAAAAGTGCTGAGTAGAGACTTGGCGTGATGCCCGCTCTCCTCCAATCACAGAACGAGGAGCGGTGCTGTTCCGAGGAGGCTGCCTCCTCTAGCGTCTAGAGCGCAGGTAAACAAGAGCAGCATGGAGCTGATAGCGGCTTTAGCTCCTCTGGCTGTAACTGCAGACACAGCAAAACAGCCCAAACAACGCAACAGTGAGGAAGAGAAGAGGGAACTAAAGCGAAAAAATGATCAAAGAAGAAATCAAGCCCGGGTGAACATAGCTAGCTTACATCGTATCCTCTGGAGAGACTTGTCTATGGGAGAGACCTGCGGGTGCGTTACTGAGACTGAGGCTGAGGCTGTTGAGCTCAGTGCAGGAGTGTAGAGGAGCCAGTGTGGCAGCATGGCGTCTCTTTGGTCTTCCATTATGAATTTGCGCTTAAAGGAGCTATACCCGTTTTTGCAGGTTTTTATCAGTTTGAATGTTTAGCCCCGCCCCTCAACTCGCTCACAGTCTTCCCTTTTTCCTACACTCTCATCCCACGGAGCCATCTAGTTTTATTTGCGATCTGATACATATGCAAACATTAGCATGAGCGCAACTTCTTGTTAGCTGTACAACAATCACTTTGAAATGGTACAAAAGCAACGCATTGCTTACAAAATGTATAACTGAAAGATTACAGATAGTTTCGCATCCAAAAATAGTCCGAGGCGGCCCCGCCCCCGCGTTCTCTCCAGAGGATACGATGTAAGCTAACGCTACGTATTATTAAAATCTATGTTTTGGCCTCTGTGACACTTCTGTACCTTTAGTGTGAACAAGCCCAGATACAGTCTGTACCTATGACCAACACCGACCAAGAATAGTGCAGCTGTTACTCTAAACTTGAGCTGAAGTTAAAGCAACAAACCACAGAACAGAAGTTAGAACAGAGAGAACCACATCAGTCTTTTATTGGCTCGCTGACGTCAAAGCACAGGTACTTTTTGGACCGGTGCGAGTGACGATGACAAAGAATGGACTTCCTCTCACGACCACAAATGCTGCAAAGACACAAAGCTTCAAACCAGAGTGGTGCAGGATGTGAGTAGAGCAGCAGTAGTTAGACTTTACCCCAGAAGAATAGAGGCTTGGTCACACTAAAGGTGCAAAAGTGTCACAGAGACCAAACATTAGATTATAACAATCAGAAGATTTTATTCATCCAAATCCCTCCTCAGTCCATTAGAAGTTGTAGAAGACACTGTTGTATACATGAGTCACATGTTCTTTAGTAACTGTTTATTGGTGTAATGGACCTGATCCTTTCAATGAGCTGAAGTTTGTTACATATTTTCAGATCCACATTTGATTCATAGATTCTTTTCTTTTACACATTTTCTCTGAAGTTTAGTTTTTAGATTACACATTTTTCAGGGTCATTAAAATTTGTATTGATGATTTTTTTAAATGATTCCTTTTTAAAAGTTCCTGATGTGTTAATGTGAATCTGTGGATTTCATCTTTGTCTCTGACTTTTTATTTTCACTGAGTCACAGAATTATCCAATCAGAGGCTGAGCTGGTTGTTCAAAATTTCACAAACATTTATTTGTCAATCTTTCCGTTTGATTTTATCCACACTTTCTCTTTGATCTGTCTGTGTTTGAAATCTTGTTTCTAATCTATGATAGTAATTTTAGTTTCTGAGTTATAACTTTATAAAGTCCAGGGTTGCACGTTGGCTGAGTGGTTAGCACTCTCGCTTCTCAGCAAGAAGGTCCTGGGTTCGAATACTGGTCGGAATAGGGCCTTTCTGAGTGGAGTTTGCATGTTCTCCCTGTGTCTGCGTAGGTTTCCTCCGGGTGCTCCGGTTTCCCCTACCACTAAAAACATGTACAATAGGCAGTGCCTCCTGTACTAGCCCCGCTCCCATCTCTGTGTGGAGTGAGAGACTAATGCCCACAATTGTAAACTGCTTTGACTCTGGTCTGAGAAAGTTGCTATATAATTAAACATTACTTAGTTACTTTCTTACTTAGATACTTGAATTGAAACTTTACTGTGAACACACCATATACATGAATAATAATCAGAGAGAGGTGACCAGCCACGGCAAGTTTATTTGTATGGCACAATACACACGGGGTAATTTTAAAATGGATTTGAACATTGTCAGAGAAGAAGCCTGTCTCGCATTTTCAGGAAGACTGATTTTAGTTGCATGAATCTGAAATGCTGTTTTGTACTGACCCTGGGTCCAGTACCTGTGATCCTCAGAGTCCCAGCAGGAGGCCAGTCCCTGTGCTCATCAGAGTCCCAGCAGGAGGCCAGTCCCTGTGCTCCTCAGAGTCCCAGCAGGAGGCCAGTCCCTGTGCTCCTCAGAGTCCCAGCAGGAGGCCAGTCCCTGTGCTCCTCAGAGTCCCAGGTGGAGACCTTATAGACCTTCCATGGCACGGTGTAAGTGGAGGTTTTAAAGAATGACATTCATTACATTTGGTTTTAAAGGCAGAACATTGCTCAGTACCTGATGATTTGTTAAAGTTGAACAAGAAGAAAAACTTTGTATCATTGTCAAAACTTCAATAGGACAATTTTGGACGTCTTAAATGTCAACAAAGAAGGGCTTTAGAAAAGTTAGACAAGATTCTCTTCTCACAGTCCAATTAGGAAGTCGCCTGAGTTGGAACCTTCTCCCTTCACAGTTAAAACTATCTCCTAACCAGAACCAAAATTGGTTTGACACCGCTGTTTTAGAGATCCAAACCAAGTAAACTATGTTCCCAGCTCTTTAGCACAACACTAACATCAATGAAAACAGTTATGAATATATTCTGAGTAAGTAAGTAAGTCCTATTTATATATATGGCGCACACAGTCTCTAGTTATTGCACACTGAGGTAGATGCATTCGCTCCATGTGCCGCTGACGTCCATCTTTCCTCGGCCTTGTCCATCGTCCTGCTGGGCAGCCATGAACTGGACCAGTCTGGGAAAACCCTGGAGCATCACACATAAATACACATAAGTTACGGCAAACACATACTCAATACTGGACTTGTTGTGTACTTTTGTCTTTGCTGATGGTCCTGGATTTGGTCTTGGGTTTGTCTGTGTCCAAAGTAAAAGAATTGGGAGAGTTAATATTACTGGTATGATGTTTGATGTGATAGATTGATATGTATCTGTGTTTTCTCAGGGTTGTTCACGAATTGTTTTACCTGCTTTGCTTTTAAAACACAGGCAAAGTGTGACGGCGAAGAGCAGGCAGCAGGTGAAGACCAACGCTCCACTCAGGAAGTAGACAGAGGCAGGAGCAGCTTCAAGGAACACAGAGGAAAACAGAAAATATGGTCGTGAATAAAGTAGTAGCAGCGAGAGAGACTAGAGAGAGACCAGAGAGAGACCAGAGAGAGACCAGCGAGAGACCAGCGAGAGACCAGCGAGAGACCAGAGAGAGACCAGAGAGAGACCAGAGAGAGACTAGAGAGACCAGAGAGACCAGAGAGAGACTAGAGAGAGACCAGAGAGAGACCAGAGAGACCAGCAAGAGACCAGAGAGAGACCAGAAAGAGAGACCAAAGAGACAAGAGAGAGACCAGAGAGAAACCAGCGAGAGACCAGAGAGAGAGGCCAGAGAGATAGAACAGAGAGAGACCAGAGAGTGACCAGAGAGAGGCCAAAGAGAGACCAGAGAGAGACCAGCGAGAGACCAGAGAGAGAGACCAGCGAGAGACCAGCGAGAGACCAGAGAGAGACCAGAGAGAGAGACCAGAGAGTGGCCAACGAGAGACCAGAGAAAGGCCAAAGAGAGACCAGAGAGATAGAACAGAGAGAGACCAAAGGACCCAATTTCAGTTCCAAGTAGATATATAGCACTCTTGCTTCTCATAAAGAAGGTCCTGGGTTCAAATACCGGGTTGGAACAGGGCCTTTCTGAGTGGGAATTGCATGTTCTCCCTGTGCCTGTGTAGGTTTCCTCCAGGTGCTCCGGTTTCCCCTACCACTAAAAAAAATGTACGCTAGGTGAAATCCTCCAGCTCTGGTCCTGACCAAGCCGAGCATCAACATCTGGAGATGGTTCCCGGGCGCTGTTACTAAGGCAACCACTGCCCCAGACATGAGCCTTAGCGGCATCAGGATGGGTCAAATGCAGAGGATAAATTGCTCCACTGGGATTAGTAAAGTGCATCTTTACAAAAGTGGTTGAGGAAACTATTAAAGGGTTAAACTTCAGTCTAATTAGCACTTTAAAATCAGTCTGCTTATTCCCAGGGAACAGAAGTAGCTGACATTAGCATGGATGGAGCTAAAAACAGTGCCACACCTTTGATAACCAGCCTGGTCCCGCCCCCGAACACCACCAGTCCGCAAGCGGCCACAGCGCAGTAGTATGTCCCAGTTTGCTCCCAGCTCACGTTGTTCAGGGGCAGGTTGTAGACGCAAGATCTGTCCGCACTGGTCACGTTGGGCTCGCACTGGTCACTATGGCTGTAGAGCAGCCATTCCCAAACTCAGTAACACCGAGGCCCCCTTAAAAATCTGACGGGTCTGCGTGGCCCCCCAAAATAATAACCAAGAAGACAACATTAAGAATAGGCTCTTCTGGTTATTTTATTTTGGGGAAATAGCCTCTGCTACAAACATTGTAATACAAACATGATTACAGTGGCTTATTCAAGTCAAATAATGAACACAAATATTTTAATATTACAAACAAAACATTATACATTTAACATTAAATAATTATATATATATATATATTTTTTTTATGACCTCCCCCGGCCCCCCTGCAGTACCCTCGCGGCCCACCAGGGGGCCGCGGACCCAACTTTGGGAGACACTGCTGTAGAGCATTCCTGGCTCCGCTGCCTCCGACTCCTTGAACCAGTAGACGTCTCGCGGTCCCTCACACGGTCCGGTTTGCACAGTGCAGTTCAGGACCACTGTCTGTCCCGGCTTCACGTCTCTGTGCGAGGGTTGCTGGACGTCCGGCTGCGCTCCCTTCACGAAGACGGTGACACTTCGCACAAACTCAAACGTCATGGAGTAGCTCATGATGCAGTAGTAGGTGGCGGAGTGTGACGGCTGCACGTTGGACATCTCCAAGTTATTTTTACTGTCGTCAGTGGAGACAGTAAAGCGTGTGTCCATGACTATGGTAGAGGCGCCGCGGTAGATGCTAGCCACCAGTCTTGGCGTCTCCCCCAGACTCTGCTCGTACCAGAAGTATTTGAAGACCTGGGTCTCGTGCGGACATTCCAGGGTAACGTTGTCTCCCACAGTCACCGCCCGATACACGTTCTTCCGATGAGGGGCCAGAGATTCTGCCGCCGGGTCTGAAATAGAAAATAAATATGTAATTTTTTCCCGACATTTGACTTTTCTAAATAAAATCTGTAGAGATATCTGTTTTTGCAAAAGCTCTTCTCTCAAACATTGACAGTCAGAGGTTAATATGGGCTACATTGGAAAGGTAATTAATCTTTAACATGTTTCACACTTCTGTCTTTTACACAAATCTGAGCGATTCCATCTCTGCCAAATGTGACATGTACATTTCTCCAGTGTGAGATCAATAAAGTCTATCTTATCTTATCTTTTTCTTCAAGCTAACCAATCAAAGCAATGTTTATATTCTAAACTTAAAATGATTAGCATATTAACATATCCCAAACGCTATCAGGCTGAAGCTTGTTGGTAAAATGGACGTTAATGTGTTTGTTTGTGTGTGTGTGTGTTTGTGTGTGTGTTTGTGCGTGTGTTTGTGTGTGTGTGTTTGTGCGTGTGTGTGTCCATTTCATTTCCTGTGTTTTTTTTAAGTTTTCCCCGGTGATATACATTAAAGTAGTCTGATTAGGAATCTGTCATGTAGTTTTTTTTTCAGTCCGAGCATGTACTAATTTATTGATGTATTTTACTCTAAAACTCAGACCTAATAAAACAAATTAAAATGCATATATTTAGATGTCAAATATAGACAACAAACACATATTCCTCAAAGAAAAGAAGAGAGATCTTGATATAAGAGGAAAGTATATGAGTCTAGTATCCTTAACAACAGCGGTACTGATACCATAGTTTAGGAAGATTCATCTTGTCTTCTTAGTAGAATTAATTAAAAATAATAGTTGGGTTTATCTATACCTGAGTACTGATACCATGTCTATGCGGGTGAGGGGAGAAAGAGAAAGAGAAAAAGTTTGGAGATCACTGCGTTTAAGTGTGTATTCAGGGCTCCTACAGGTTTCTTCAAGTCCAACCCAAGACCTTTTCAAGACCAGAGCCTGTTTCACAAACCGATGACTTTACTTCAGTTGAATTTCTTCATCTATTTTCATGTCTTTTCTTCTACGTTGTTTGTCTACTTCTCGAGGACTTGTGAAAATGATTTGTTTTGTTACTTTTGGTCTGAAGAAAGACAGTGATGTTCCATGTATAAAGTGACCCAAACTCTCGCAGATAAACTTTCAAACATAATTTTCGAGGATGATTCGAGCTGTTTTCAATCCCATACAAACATCATTCTCAATTTTGTAGGAGCGACTTTTGGACAACTCCAAATGTCTCAGATGCGTAAGATAAAATTACTTGAATTAAACATTCCCTTTGATCATCTTTTCGACTTTGCAGAATGAAATGTAAAGATGGACTCACCCAGAGCCGCAGAGACGAGGCCGAACAGGTCCAGCAGCACCAGCGACAGCAAAGGTGTCATTGTGATGAGAAACCTAAAAAATGTGAAAATCGTTGTATGTGCCTCAGACTCAAAAGTGAAAACTTTGACCAAACAGGATGTAGAACGAAAGCCGCCCTCCACCCACTGCAAGAACATAATGCTGCTTTTTACTAAAAACCCAGTCTGTTCTGTTTTTCAGAATCTACCTGATGATATAATGAAGTAATGCGATACATTTTCCCATTATAAGGTCAGGTATATGTGTATGCATTCTTAACGAGGGAGATTAAGTTTTAGATTTGTTTGTTATGTCATAGGCTTCTATACTTCAACTTACCATGAGAAAAGTAATATATGACAGACTCCTTAGACACGGGGTGTCCAAACATTTCAGGAGGTCCACTTTAGTTCACCAGACTAGTCCAGCGGGCTGATGTCATGACTGGCATCGGGCTGTTCTGGTCTATAATGGATCTGAAGTTGGCTGGATGACAAATGTTTACCATCTCACCAGCTCACAAGTTAACGCCTGAACTCTAGACATACTGGGCTTTAGAACGAGTTACGACATGTCTAAACAGACTGAGCTGAAGTTGGATGGATGACACTGTGAACTTGTGTTTATGATCTCATATACTACTGTGGGCTAGCGAGGCAGAAGGCCACAAAAAATGAAACTGTGGGCCACACTTGGCCCCCGGGCCTGAGCTTGGACATGCCAGCCTTGGACAAACGTGAGGCATTTCAAACCTGTATTTGTTATTTTGTTAACTACTGAGTAAAAAACCCAAATATAACACCTCAGAAATGTTGAATATTTTGGGACTGTAAGCAACAATCAACAAAATCATAACTAACAGAGGTATTTGTCACTTTTCTTGTAATGAGTCTAGATGAGAGTGAAAAAGGCCTTCAGGATGTGTTTGCAGATTGAAGGTTGACACAGACATTCACCAGTGTGGTGTTAGCGCAGATTTCTCTTTGATCGTTTCTGCGTAGAATAATTGACATGTCTTATATTGTTTCTGATCTTAGTGCCCATCAACCCTCACTCATTCATGGATAACTGACCACCTCCAAAAGTGCTTACTGATTACTGACGACTGATCTCCTCCAAAAGACACAATGTTACATTAGTCACATTACTTTAAGTGAATGTCATTGACTTTTCAAACTGTGAGAAGTTTTTCAGTTAGACCCGCCCCCACAGGCTCCTGATTGGATGCAGTGAATTCAAATCTTTGATAGACAGCTGAGGCCCCTCCCCTTTGGTAAAACTATTGTCCTTTAAAATCTTACTGTCGGTGCTTATGCCGAGGGACTGGTTTTCATATGTGTATCAGGGACACTACTACACTTAGATGATCAGAAATATGTATTCCTCCATCCATCCATTTTCTTCCGCTTTATCTGTTGCCGGGTTGCGGGGGCAGCAGTCTAAGCAGAGACGCCCAGACTTCCCTTTCCACACACATTTCCTCCAGCTCGTCTGGGGGGACCCCAAGGCGTTCCCAGGCCAGCTGAGAGACATAGTCCCTCCAGCATGTCCTAGGTCTTCCCCGGGGCCTCCTCCCGGTGGGACGTGCCCGGAACTCCCCAGGGAGGCGTCCAGGAGGCATCCGGAACAGATGCCCGAGCCACCTCAACTGGTTCCTCTCGACATGGAGAAGCAGCGGCTCTACTCCGTGCTCCTCCTGTGTGACTGAGCTCCTCACCCTATCTCTAAGGGAGCGCCCAGCCACTCTGCGGAGGAAGCTCATTTTGACCGCTTGTATCCGCGATCTCGTTCTTTCGGTCATTACCCAAAGCTCATGACCATAGGTGAGGGGGGAACGAAGATTGACCGGTAAATTGAGAGCTTTGCCTTTCGGCTCAGCTCCCTCTTTACCACAACGGTCCAATACAGCGACCGCATCACTGCGCACGCTGCACCGATCCACCTGTCAATCTCACGCTCCATCCTTCCCTCACTCGTGAACAAGACCCCAAGATACTTGAACTCCTCCACTTGAGGAGGGACCTCTCCACCCACCTGGAGAGGCCAAGGCACCTTTTTCCGGTTGAGCACCATGGCCTCAGATTTGGAGGTGCTGATTCTTATATCCCAGCCGCTTCACACTCGGCTGCAAACCGCCCCAGTGCATGCTGCAGGTCCTGGCTCGTTGGAGCCAACAGGACAACATCGTCCGCAAACAGCAGAGTGGTCCCCGAACCGGACCCCCTCTGAACCCTGGCTGCGCCTTGAAATTCTGTCCATGAACACGGTGAACAGAACCGGTGAAAAAGGGCAGCCCTGGCGGAGGCCAACATGCACCGGGAACAGGTCTGACTTACTGCCGGCGATGCAAACACAGCTCTGGCTCCGGTCATACAGGGACCGGACGGCCCTCAGCAGAGGACCCCGGACCCCATACTCCCGGAGAAACCCCCAAAGGACACCCTGGGGAACACAGACGAACACCTTCTCCAAATCCACAAAGCACATGTGGAGAGATGGAAATGTATTTGAAGTTGCAGACGTCACCTTTAAGCAAGATTGTTTCTGTATTCATGGGACAGCAACATTAGGGTACTCCAGCTTTAAGCAATACATGAATAAATGCAAACAAAAATGTTTTTGTACTAAGCAGATTCAAAAGCAATAAAGATCAAATTCTGAGATAAGAATATACACATTTTTTGCCAATTTTAACTTTTATTCATTCATTCATGTCTTCCTTTACCTTTGCCTCTCCACAGTATGGTCCCTGCAGCTTTGAGATCTTTCCCTGCCTTCTGCCAACTGTCAGCCAATCAAATGCCTTCTCTACCGTTTAGAGGAAAGACTTTGTCGGTGACTTTCATTGTTCTATACGACCTTCAAACATGATCTTTCAGGTTGTCTTCGCCTTCAGCCTCTCGTTGGTGATAATCGGTAAGTTTTACTCACACAATGTTTTAATCCGAGTTAGAAACTGTTCTGTTTCTCTGTTACACAACTCAAGGATTGTATCTTTATTGTTTTTAATGTACTGTGATTATTTAAGTGATTATATTTAAGTCTTGTGTGATTGTGGGTTTCTATCTCTTTTTTTTCAGCACTTTGAGTTTCCTTGTGTTGGAATTGTGCCAGAAAGAAGTATAAACAATTGTTACACGCCGTTGATAATGTACGATAATTTTTGCCTTTTCAGCTAAAATGGAACCTGTGCAGCAACAAGGAAGTGGCAGGTATCTCTCAGCGACTGTGACAGACTGTGACATCACGTTGCATTGCTTTTCACAAATCAAGGTTGGGCAGAAAATGTTCTGGTACAAGCAGAGCCTGGGCATGAAACCGGTGCTTGTCTCCACACATTACAAATACAGCGAGGAGAACAGAATCCACGGAGAGTTCCACAGCAGTAATCGCTTCCGGATGGAGGTGGACGAGGGCAACTGTAACCTGCACATCCAGAACGCGAGTCTGTCTGATTCTGCCGTTTATCACTGCGTTCGTGAGTACGTACACCAGAGCGAGTTTTTGGAAAGCATCACAGTGTTTGTACAGCGTTCCAAGCGAACGGCTGAGGTCCTTCAGACTCAACTTGTGGATATAGATCGAGGAGAATCTGTGAGTTTAAACTGTAGCATCCAGAATGGGAGCTGTAATGAAGCACACAGCGTTTACTGGTTCAAGAAGTCTGAAGAATCCACAGCAGGAGTTCTCTACAGTCGTGGGAATAGTAGTGATCAGTGCGAGAAAAGCACAGGCAGTCCAACAAACTCCTGCTTCTATAATCTCCACATTCATAACGTGAGCTCAGAGCAAACTGGGACGTACTACTGCGCTGTGGCCGCCTGTGGACAGGTCCTGTTCGGGAACGGGACAAGGCTCAGGATCAGAGGTGAGATACATCTTTGGAATAAACCCAATAACCTGTAAATATTCATAAGTCTGACATTAGAAAATTCCCTTTCTGTTCTTTTGTAGAAGTCTCAGAGATGTTGGTCTATGTCTTGAGTAGAGTGTCTGTGTTCAGCACCAGTCTGGTTGTTGGACTCTCTTTCTGCTTGTGCACAAATAACAACACAGGTAAGAACTGTTGAAGCTTTATTTCATGTGGTGTGAATATAACAAAGGTACAACAAATAGACAGCAGTCTAAATCTGGCTTTGACCTGCAAACACACCCTGAAGTTTGGTGTGTCCTCTTTGATTATTTTTCTCATGTTGTCTAAATAGTACCTACTTGTCCTACTGACCCATTCTTCTTTGCAGACAAATCCGTGAAAGGTGCTGCAGCTGGGACAAAGGTATGGACTTGTTTCCTGTGGGTTAGTTTCAATCACATGAAAACCAAAGGATCACGATGTGTTTTTATTTTGCTCTGTATCAGGATGTTCCCAAACGTCTGCAGTACAAGGCCACAGAGCAGGTGAACAGAAGGAGACAGTCACATGACACATGGAGCGAGTGCGTCTACTTCAGTGTGGAGCAGTGAGCGCAAAAGAGCTTTTCAAAGATGCTGTAGTTTCTCCAGATGCCATTGTTTTCCTTTGATACATCGCTTTAGATACAGTAAATATGAACGTTTCAACAATTATAATGCATTATATATATTCACTTTGATCAGCAGTGTTTACAGAGCAGGTGTAGATACTGGAAGGACTGTTGGACGGTGAAAGAACACTTTAAGGTTCTCCTCGACCCCCGTCCTCTAGTTTGAAGACCTTGGGACGGATACCTCTCTCTCTCTGGCTGAAGTCAGAGGCCGTTGGTGACCTCCTCGGTGCAAGAACCTGGGAGTGGATGAGATCCGTCCTGAATGTCTTCAGTCTCTAGAGCAGAGATGTCAAAGCAGTCGTAAAAAGGCCTGTTTGGCTGCAGGATTTAATTCCAACCGAGCAGGAGTTAAGACTGAACTTTTGAATGGAGTCTGGTGTTTCTTGTTTGACTGAAATGAAATACTTTAGCCACACTGGTCGTTTGAGAACAGGTTTGACAGCCCTGCTCTGGATGGTGGCTGACACGTCTCTGCAACGATCAGGGCCAGTGCCTTTGGCGCAAATCATGGGGTGGTGTCTTTGAGAAGGAGACCGGAGCGTGTATTCCAACTACTGTAGGATCACTGCTCAGTCTGTTCCATGATCCTGAAGATGGCCGACGCACAATCTGATACCACAAAGTCACTCACTATTACACCAGGACCTTAATGCAGGAGTTCCAGTCTCAGGTCTTGTTGATGGAGGATGGAGCCTGAGATTGAGACGGTTTAGCGTCTGCAGGGATGCAGTCGCTGTAGTGGATCATGCTTAATATTTTAGTTTTTAAACCGCTCTTTTTAGGGAATGGGACTATATATAATTTACATGACTGATTTTCTGTTTTAAATATACCCTTTATTATGCTGTGTAGATTTCCTTTATGCTTGTGAGTGTGTGATGTTATGTTTGTAGCATCAATAAAAACTAAACTGATCACAGCAGTTGTCTTCTTTTTCTTACAAAGATTCAGGTGTGATCTGAAACCTGTTCAGGAGCTCACGATACTGTCTGGAAATATATGAGATCAGAGCTGAGCGTGACCCAGTTCATGTGGTTGACTAAGGTCTGGAACTTGGCAATATATAAATGTATGTCTTTTATTTAGTTTTTGTTAAATATGAAAAATAAACATTCTTAAATATTCATTCACGTGAGTAAAGTTGTCTGTTGTCATCATCCTAATGCTTTTGTGTAATCAAAGTTAGACCTCATTTATAATCTTTACATCATGTTCTGAGGAGTCACAAATATGTGCAGTGAAGGAAAGAGTTTGTCAAAGATGGAACAAAGACAGTAGTTTGAACATTATTTCTTGTTTTAAAGCTTTTTGTATTTTCTTGTTGTTTTAGAGATAGTGTAATAAAATGGGCCATCTTAAAAGTACAAAGGAGGATTTTCCCAAATTTGAGGAAAGAACCGCCCTCTCCATTTTTTGAACAAAACTCTTTGACCTTATTTGACGAGCACCATAATGATCGACAGTTGTGAGGACCAATAGTCTTGATGATCCACCTGGAAGTAGAAAATCCTCCTCTACCTTTGACATAATGCTGTTTATTTTTACACTTTGCAACACACAAAAACCTCGCTTTTCTTAAGATCAAACAAAAGTGAGTTTCTAAAGATATGTCACTTTTAGATGATTTGATTTCTTTCTTAAATGAAGTCCTTGAAGCTGGAATAACTGGAACTTATTATAACATGTTTTTCTCAGTTTGTAAAGTGACCTCTTCTGTAACGGCTTTAATCTGTGAACATTAAGAATCTGTGTCTTTGCAGCAAAGTGGTTTGACTCCGGAAGTCATACAGCTTCAGAAATAGACAAAGCACAGTCTGAACACCACAGACTGGTCTCACAGAATGTATGACTGTAATTCATTATCAAACTGAGCCTGTGTGTGGACACCAATGTCTGGAGGAAAATGAGGAGAAATAAAGCTTTATATGTATTTGGGGTTGACATCTAAAGGATCCATGTGTGGAAAGATAACTCCTCTTTCACGGCACTAAAGAATCTCTTCCAACAATTCCAAAACTTTTCATCATTTGGTTTGGATTATGTTTGACTACTACTTGACTACTTACTACTACTACTACTTACTAAATTTAAAGGGACAGTATGTGACTTTAAATACATCTACATCTTGTGTCACCAGAAAACAGCTCACATCAACTCATCACAAATGACACTTTCTGAACAACAGTTTAAAGTGGAGATGAGGTTCAGATTGGAAACTGTGCTGCATCAGCAGAGACACTCAGCAGTGGCTTCCTGCTTCTAATATCTCACCTGGAAGTGTCCCTTGGGTCAAAATTACCCGCTACAGACAATTAAAAGTATAAGAAGAATACCCTAAATATTGGTTAAAAAGACAAAAAAAATTGTCCTGAAAAAATAAATAATTATCCCTGTGACGGGTAAATTTTACCCGAGGATAGCACGAGGGTTAAGAATTGGATTAGGTTTAGGGTTGTGCAGTAACCCTCCTCCTCCCCATCACCACCAGCCAGAACAGAGAATCCTCAGGAGAACCTCAGTAAAAGAGAGATCTACTCAAGTCCAGAGGGAGAGTCAATTTCTCTCTCTGGACTTGAGCAGCACAACAATGTGAGCAGCCTGTGATGGTATTAATACAACAACATGAGATTGTGCTGTAGACTGAAATGCAGCAAATCAAATCCTTTCATCTTGTCGGCCAATCAGATGCGAGCTTGGCTGTAAAGAGCAGAGGCGGGATCAACCATTTCCAGTCTACACCTGCATCTCAACATGGGACGACCGTTCAGAGTTCTGCTGGTCTTCAGTCTCGTGTTGGTCTTCAGTCTAGTGTTGGCCACTAACAGTGAGTTTCTTTAGAATTATGAACATCATCATCTGTTGAAATGAGTTAAAATTAGACTTTGTTGTGGTCTTTTAATTTCAGATCAAGTGACTCTTCAAGAAACAAACCATTTCCTCTTCCCTGCTCCTGGAGACAACATCACTCTGCCCTGTTTTAACAAAGATGACAAAGAGTTTGAATCAACGTATTATTGGTACAAGCAAAGTTTAGGCAAAAAGACAGATTGTCTTATGTCTTTGACTAAATATCAGCGCACTCCAACTTTGTGTGGAGAATTCAACATTAGCGGACGATTCTCACCGGGAACTCAACACGGGAATAAGGAACTCCATATTACACATGTCCAAACATCTGATTCAGGGATTTACCTTTGCATACGGTATTATCTTTACAATCTGAACATCACTGAAACGTTTAATGTTGTTGTGATGAGAGAAAACCTGACTTTTAAGATCCAGCAGTCAGAAAATGAGGACATAGATCGAGGAGAATCTGTGAGTTTAAACTGTAGCGTCCAGACTGGGAGCTGTAATGGAGCACACAGCGTTCACTGGTTCAAGAAGTCTGAAGAATCCACAGCAGGAGTTCTCTACAGTCGTGGGAATAGTATTGATCAGTGTGAGAAAAGCACGGACAGTCCAACAAACTCCTGCTTCTACAACCTCCACATTCATAACGTGAGCTCAGATCAAACTGGGACGTACTACTGCGCTGTGGCCGCCTGTGGACAAGTCCTGTTTGGGAACGGGACCAGGGTCAGGGTCAGAGGTGAGATACATCTTTGGAATAGACCCAATAACCTATAAATATTCATAAGTCTGACATTAGAAAAATCCCTTTCTGTTCTTTTGTAGAAGTCTCAGAGATGTTGGTCTATGTCTTGAGTGGAGTGTCTGTGTTCAGCACCAGTCTGGTTGTTGGACTCTCTTTCTGCTTGTGCACAAATAACAACACAGGTAAGAACTGTTGAAGCTTTATTTCATGTGGTGTGAATATAACAAATGTACAACAAATAGACAGCAGTCTAAATCTGGCTTTGACCTTCAAACACACCCTGAAGTTTGGTGTGTCCTCTTTGATTATTTTTCTCCTGTTGTCTAAATAGTACCTACTTGTCCTCAGTTTTCACCCATTCTTCTTTGCAGACAAATCCGTGAAAGGTGCCGCAGCTAAGACAAAGGTATGGACTTGTTTCCTGTGGGTTAGTTTCAATCACATGAAAACCAAAGGATCACGATGTGTTTTTATTTTGCTCTGTATCAGGATGTTCCCAAACGTCTGCAGTACAAGGCCACAGAGCAGGTGAACAGAAGGAGACAGTCACATGACACATGGAGCGAGTGCGTCTACTTCAGTGTGGAGCAGTGAGCGCAAAAGAGCTTTTCAAAGATGCTGTAGTTTCTCCAGATGCCATTGTTTTCCTTTTATACATCGCTGTAGATAAATATGAATGTTTCAACAATTATAATGCATTATATATATTCACTTTGATCAGCAGTGTTTACAGAGCAGCTGTAGATACTGGAGGGACTGTTGGACGGTGAAAGAACACTTTAAGGTTCTCCTCGACCCCCGTCCTCCAGTTTGAAGACCTTGGGACGGATACTTCCATCTCTCTGGCTGAGGTCAGAGGTCATTGGTGACCTCCTCGGTGCAAGAACCTGGGAGTGGATGAGATCCGTCTCTAGAGCAGAGATGTCAAAGCAGTCGTCAAAAGGCCTGTTTGGCTGCAGGATTTCATTCCAATCGAGCTGAAGTTAAGACTGAACTCTTAAATGGAGTCTGGTGTTTTCTTTCTTGGCTGAAATTAAATACTTTAGCCACACTGGTCGTTTGAGAACAGGTTTGACAGCCCTGCTCTGGATGGTGTGGAACTGTCTTGGCTGACACGTCTCTGCAACGATCAGGGCCAGTGCCTTTGGAGCAAATCATGGGGTGGTGTCTTTGAGAAGGAGACCGGAGCGTGTATTCCAACTACTGTAGGACCACTGCTCAGTTTGTTCCATGATCCTGAAGATGGCCAACGCACAATCTGATACCACAGAGTCACTTACTATTACACCAGGACTTTAGTGCAGGAGTTCCAGTCTCAGGTCTCGTTCTCAGTGAGAGAAGGATGGAGCCTGAGATTGAGACGGTTTAGCGTCTGCAGGGATGCGGTCGCTACAGTGGATCATGCTTAATATTTTAGCTTTTAAACCGCTCTTTTTAGGGAATGGGACTATATATAATTTACATGACTGATTTTCTTTTTAAACATACCTGTTATTGTGCTGTGTAGATTTCCTTTATGCTTGTGAGTGTGTGATGTTATGTTTGTAGCATCAATAAAAACTAAACTGATCACAGCAGTTGTCTTCTTTTTCTTACAAAGATTCAGGTGTGATCTGAAACCTGTTCAGGAGCCCACGATACTGTCTGGTACTATGTGAGATCAGTTTTTATTCACTTGTATTTGGTTAAGAAGTATATGTTAAAGATGAAGAACCATACTTTGTGCTTAAATATTCATTCACGTGAGTAGGGTTGTCTGTTGTCATCATCCTAATGCTTTTGTGTAATCAAAGTTTAACCTCATTTATAATCTGTACATCGTGTTCTGAGGAGTCACAAATATGTGCAGTGAAGGAAAGAGTTTGTTATAGATGGAACAAAGACAGAAGTTTGAACATTATTTTAAAGCTTTTTTATTTTCTTGTTCGTTTTTAGCCTGGTCGTACCACACCATAGTAGAAATTACATTTCGTACTAAGGTCTGGATTTCCTCCCTTGAGCTCGGTTAACAGGTGGGAGGGGTTAACTCCTTTTGCAGATTGAAACCATTGGATCTGAGTTTACCGTGGCTTATGTAGTGCACCCGAGTGACCATTTAGCCTAGCTTTAGCCATTTTGCCGCTTACGGAGCCTGTGGGGCATAGCGCCACAATTTTTGCATGTTCGCTAAACATTCCTCTTGCTCCAGCTTCAATGTCTTGATAGAACCGGAACGGAATACTTTGCTATCGCATTCTTCCCCAAACGACATCCTGCCCCTAGGCCGCAAACTCTTGACGTCACCCACAACTAACTACAACACCCGCCTCCCGCGCTCACTGATTGGTCGGATGGAATTCAACCGATTGTAATCACAAACACAGGGACCAGACCCAGATGTTACATGCAGTGAAATGATGACTGACCGGAGTAGACGGATGGATAAGGCCAGGCTAGTTTGTTTTAGAGCTAGTGTTATAATATGGTCAGCACTAGATCATATACGGAATTGGGACGGAAGCGGAAGTAAATATCATAAACTACCTATTCATGCCTAAACTTAACCAGCCATTCCTATAAAATAACCCCAATCCACCCTTAACCCTAACCATCTTAATCAGACACCTAAAACTTAACCAGTCACCACTTAAGGACTTTTTAGTCTGAAACTAATTCCAAAGTAGGATTGTTACTTCCGGTTTTGTCCCGATTCCGTATATGATCTAGTGCCGACCGTAATAAAACGGGCCATCTTAAAAGTATAAAGGAGGATTTTCCCAAATTTTAGGAAAGAACCGCCGGAAGTTATTTTAACATGTTTGTCTCAGTTTGTAAAATGACCTCTTCTGTGACGGCTGTAATCTGTGAACATTAAGAGTCTGTGTCTTTGCAGCAAAGTAGTTTGACTCAGGAAGTCATACAGTTTCAGAAAGAGACAAAGCACAGTCTGAACAGAGAGTTTTGGCCACGACAAAAACAGAATGCAACACCTTAGACTGGTCCCACATGTGTTTTCAGAAAACAGGTCACATGAACTCATCATGTTTGACATTTTCTGAACAGAAGTTTAAAATGGAGGTTAATCCTTTAGGTACAGTAGGGCCCACTTCGTTTTGTCGCCTTTCACGCGTGAATCACACGAGACTCACGTGTGATTCACGCGTCTTTTATTTATTTTTTCCCCAGTGATGCTGCAATGACCCAAACAACCACCAGGTGGCACTTGTGAGCAGGGTTAGGAAAATTGGCTTCTCATCGGTCTTCGTTCTCTGTTCACCGGAGAACTATCTGTGGCTTTATAGCTCAATGATAAAGAGGTGGACTCTGATGTGAGAGGACTCGGGTTCAAGTACAGTCTATGACACTTTTGATTTTGTTGACGTTTACATTTTTTCTAAAACATACTTAGTAATTAGGCCAACACATTTAAAATAGTTGCTAGACTGTAGTAAACTGTTGTAAACTTCACAATCTGCACCAACCAAACTGCAGGAAAAAAAATTCAACTTTATTCAGTAACGGAGTAATCTGATTCATATACTCCCCCCACTAATAAAAACTGAGGATTGGCCGGGGCTCGAACCCCGATCGTCCAAGCGAAACAGCTGATATGGTCCTGTCCTCGATAAGTTACAGATTTGCGGGGATGACTTCAACAGAGGTAAGACATGTTACTGTTTTGTATGATATTTAGACCAAATCAAATCTATATTTTCCAAGATGTGATACTTCAGCAAATGTAAAGCAAAGTGAATTATCAAAAGCCTGAAGCCACATTATATTCACACAAATGAACAACATTTCAAAGGGGAACAAAAAAGTGTCTATTATGTATATATAAACGTAAGCCTAACTGTAATAATACAATTCCACAGATAGAAATGCTTCAATGACAAGCCAAAATCATCTTTTTATTGGGCCTTATAAGGTTAGCGTAGCATGAGACTTTTTGTGGTATATTTACTACTCATAAACATAAATCAGTGAAGTCACTGTTATTTTGCAGCCAAGACAAGCTAACATTAGCAACATTATTATTCCCATAGAAAATACAGCATAATTACCACTGTTACTGTTTTGTTTTTATTATTGTTATTAATGACACTAGTCTGCTACTAATACTACACAAGTTGTCTGTAGGTATAAAACTATATCAACTATTCTGATAAATTCAAAATATTTTTTGATGAAGTTTGTACAAAACACACATTCCAGAACAGTGACATCTAAATCTTTTTGCTTTTCCTTCCAGGACTCCAGTCCAGTTGAATCTGTAGTTTCTGAGAGCAGTGACTTTGAATGGGGGAGAGGAGGAGGCAGACGAGCAGCAAGAAGAGGAGGAAGAGGAGCAGCCAGAGGAGGAAGAGGAGCAGCCAGAGGAGGAAAAGGAGCAGCCAGAGGAGAGGCCAGGCAGGAATGAGAAGAGCAGGACATGTGGGTTATAAAGACGCCCCTTTATTCGTTCCACAGTAGGGAATTAAAACTAAAATGCAACTCATCACCACTTTAGAAATGAGTTTTTCTTTTATTTCAATGTTTGGGGGAATTTTTTTTATATTTGACATAATATAAATAAATGTGCTGTGGCCATCTTTGATTGCTGTCAGCTTCTGTTCAAGGACCAGATAAAAAAGTCCTAGAAAAAGAAAGAAAAATATTTTATATCATAGAGACTTGTTTTCCACTTGATTATCATCACTACCTGTCCTCTGTTGTGTCTGCTCCAGTTCAGCTGCAGGAGGAGGGATGATGAGGACAGAGGACCCATGGCCCTGGGGTCATCTGCTTACATTTTTTGAGAGTCCCCCAGCAGAGCTGAGGCGCTGGTCTGGGATAGAGCTGTAGTCTTTAGTCTCCTTCACAGTGTAACACTAAGACTTTTTCTGTAGACATCAGTAGAAATAATATATTTCTTTATTGCTTTTATACTGTATCTTGATAATAAAGTATGACATACGATACTTGGCCTTTGCTGCTCACATGCACTGGGCGATGGTTATGGAGGTTGTAGTCTAATGCAGCGAGGAGTGTACGAACTTCATAGGCGCCATAAGTAAATCCAAAACGCTTCCCTGCGTACATCAGGACATGGTTTTGGAAAGATTCGAGCTTCGAAGTTGTCCTACAGAACAAAGATTATTGTAACGTCAAACATTCAAATAAATTCGATCTCTGTGTAATATAATATACTTTGTAGTATTAAAAAGGCAGTTCCTGTACATTCCCACAAGATGTCACCCACATGACTTATCGAAAGGTGAGCAACTTCTCAATATCCTTCAGCCACCTCCGGTTAAGAACCACGTGGAATGGGCTCTTTGTCCTGTTTATCCTCCAGAGGCGCACATGGTGAAGTGCACCTCTCCACACACCCTAAATGTATACAATACGTTGTATATCAAAAGTTATACCATGTCACCACATAAAGAGAAAATTACATTATCTAGTGACGTTATAAATATCCAATGTTCATACAGACCATAAACTCCTCTCTGATGCTTGTGTGCTGACAAGCATACCAGAAATGGTTAAAGATGTCCTCAATCCATAAAAGTAAAGCCTTTTGACCAGAAGCGATTCAGCCTGATTGAAGACACCACAATTATATTTTAAAAAGTCTTACCGGACCTGTGTTAAATACAATAAACACTTACGATGTCCATGGTGTCTAGCTCCATCGTTGTGTACGTACAGCACATAGCAGAGTGACCTTTTTGGAAAAATATATAGATTGTGGGGGAAATAATGACAAACATTTCAATAACAACACACCGATATTAATGAAATACCACAGAGATTTGTGCATTACCTGGTAAGTAGATCCTCCCGTCAGCTAAAACATAAACATAAAGGGCACGTAAATATACATATACACGGGCTTAGAAATTAATATGCTTACTTACCAAGGGCAACAACGTTGTCTTTGGACTCTAATCTGTTGATGATAGCAGTCCTTTTCTCCTCCCAAAACTGCTTTATTGTTTTTAGACAGTAGGTTCCCTGGACTGCATAAGATGTTGAGAGGGCACCATGCAGATATTCATGAATTTGAATAAGAGGTAAATATTGCAGAACAACATAAAATCTCCTCCTTGCATAAACTCCATAATTTGTGGCCGTGCGGGCAAAACTATATGGGGAAGAAAGTGTTAACAAGTCTGTAACTTCACACATGTACCACCTTAGTCTGGTAAACACTTTCAACAACCACTCGACATGGTTTTGGGAAAATGGGAATGGTGGCTGCTGCCTCTTCTTCCAAATCTTCCTCAAGATCTGCTTCTTGGACTTCCTCAACACAGTCGGCAATGTCTAATATAGATTCTTCCAGCCCAATGCAAGGAAGTTTGTCGACCATATCCTGCGATGCACCGCTATTTTACAACCCAAATGAAATGTATACTATCAGTGAGTGAAAAGTAAAAGATAAGAAAAAAATACATACCGTAATGAGATTGGTGGCACATAATATGAATCATACGGGTCTGAAACTCCATCCCCCTCAAACTCTATTCTGGAATTAAAAAAGAACAGCCCAATATGTAAATTATGAACCAACACATACACATTGAATTTTTTTGACAAAAAACAGTATTCGTCAAATGTTAAAATTCATGCATGTTTACCTTTTCTCTAACGATTGTAACCTTGTATCTGCTGTCAGAGGTTCAACTCCTGCAATGTGAAATTCTTCCCTGTAGGACAAAATACTTTTTAGTTGACGGTGGATGAGTGGTAACCTGTAAGCAGAAGTTGCATTTGGCAAACTTACCTATCAGATTCGCCTGCAGTCACTGAACTGGGGGGATGGGGCCCCATCAACACCTTGCTGATGGGCCATGGGGTGTGGACGTGAGTGGTCCCTTTGATAGAGGGTGCCTCTCGTAACTACAACAATAGAGCCATTGTTACTGCTAGCGATGGCAATATCAAGTATTGCAGTGAGACAATTACAATAACACGCGTATGTTTCGAAGACTCTACACGCTCAACAACTAACTAGTTACTATTGCGATTGCAATGTACATACATTTAAAAGGGAAAATGTTCGTAAGGTTCTAGAAAAAGCCCCGTTTGTAAACAAACCGCAGTTCACTAATGCTAATGCTAATGCTAGCTAGTGTGTTAGTTTGACGCAGAGATCTTGCTAGAAATGCGTATTACAGATAGTATTTAGAAAATGACCCATCATTCTCTCACTCTGAGCACTTTCCACAAATAAAAACTTAGATGTAGACAAAAAAAAGTATTTCGCTACGTAGCCTTTCAATGCACGGACACCGCTGCTTTGAAAGCATAAACACATGTATTTAGAGATAATGTCTTACCTTTCAAGCAGAAATGATGCCAACTGTGGGTCTTTTCTCATGCCCAGAAGTTCTCTCAGAGTTTTCAACCTCTCAAAAGCAACTCCAATATTTACCCTCGTTTGTTGCCTACTGCGGTCAGACTCGAGTTTCCCCCTTTTGGTCACACTTCGCGTGTCTATGGTCCGCGCTCGGAGCCCAGACGGCAGTGCGTTCACTGAGCTGTCAGAGCGGGGGTCACAGCAGCTGCTCCCGGGGCCAGAGCGGAGGATGTAACGTAACGTTCGTGACATCCGACGGGTTTTCCCAGATCGCATCACATATATACGTTAATGCAATTTAATTATAAAGATTAACATTAGTACCAAAATATGTATATGTTGTCTGTTATGCTCTTACTTTGAAAAAGCATTCAAAAGCAACACATATACATTCACATGCACGGCTTGAACACACAGCCAATTTTACACATTTCCTTTTGACAAGGAAAGAAGATAACAATCTGATAACGTTACGTAATTGCACACAAGCAACCAAAAGATGTGCAACCAAAATTGACTCAGACAAGAATCGAACCTGGGTTCTCCAGGTCCCAGTCTTCAATGCTAACCATTCGGCCAACATAGGATCTCTGGGCTAGATAGGTTTGCACGCAGTGTTATACCTGAGCGTCTAAGTCGCTGGCAGAGCTAAAGCGGGCTTAACCTGCCACCTTGTGGCGATAAGATGTAATATTTTTCACGCAGCTGCGTGATTCCCGAAAAGCGTGAATGAAGACGACAAAACGAAATGGGACCTACTGTACCAGGGATTTTTTCTGAAAGCGCTCATTTCTTAATTTCAAAAAGCTATAACCTTAAAGTAATGAGAGATAGAATCTTTCTGTAAAATACAAAAAGATTAAAGATGGCCCAAAGTTACTTTAAGCATTAAAAATATTCCAACTGCTTTGCATATTCTGATGTCATATGACGGTGGCATTTATGACTTTAGAATTTTCATGAAATGTTTTTGGTTTTTCAAACTTACAGACCTACGGATCACTAGGACACGAACACAAACTGAACTCACATTGCACCAAACCAAATGTTCAGGGAAATAGTAAAAGCAAATCCTTCCTGCCCCTGCTGTGAGCAGACTGTCCCTGCTCCTGCGTTGGCCCCGAGCTCTCTGTTGTCTAACTAATTGTAACCCGCCTAGTTAAAAGGGTTTATTATTATTTATGTAGAAAAGTTTAGTTTAGATTTTTATTTTGAAAACAGATTTGTTAAAATTTTATATTTTGACTAAATGGTACTTTAATTACATGTAACTAAGTTACCCATCTGTAACTTGATTTTATTTTTGAAAGTTACTTTTGTTGTACAACACTTTATTTTTTTAAGAACCTAATTGCAATTGCATAAAAAGAGAATGTACTATCACACCTGTTTTGTAAATACAGGTCAGGTCTTTTTGTGAGGCCGTGATACAGAGAAATCCCAGCCTTGGAGTACGACGAGGTTGAGGGAAAGAATCATCGATGGCGAGCCTCCCAGTCGAATTCTGAGTCCTACCACGGTTCCTGCAGATGCTGTGGTAGGATTGTGTCAGTCCCACTGACGGACACCAACAAGAGTCTTCAACAGTCCACGAGTACCTACATTCCCTGACTTGACTATTTCCCCTGACTATATTGACTTGACCATTGAACACAAATTCCGGAAAGAACATTTTTTCTACAAAAACAATTTTAGTTCTTAGTTGGGCCCATATTTTTTTGTTAAAATTGCATGTGCACTATTTTGATTTGCTGAACTAAAATTCACCTTTATTTTAATCTACTTGCCGTGTTATTGCTATCCTCAGCTCCTACGAACCTAGAGGTCCAACGTGTACATACCTTGAAGTGGGTTACACTAATACAAGACTAAGGCTTCTCCATCACATACTGTCCCTGTGATTATGGGGAGGCACAAGTAGCAGAGGCAGTCCTGATTCTGCTTCCAGACTTGTTTTCTGCAAAATGAGAGCCTCCTAATCTCCATATGGACCTCGACCCGTGAAACACAGTCCCTGCAAACACTGGGCACAGGGTCCACAGTTTGCGCTTGGTGCTTGGACTCACTCGCTTCACTGTGATTTCTGCACTGATTCAAAGACTGAAACTCTCTCTGTGCACAAGCTCACTGCTCTCAGTCCTCCCTCTGCTGCTACATCAGCAGTTTGCCAATATGTCACCTGGAAACATTTAAGCACTGCCCTGATTTGTCATCGAGCTTTCATTTTGTGCAGTAACCCTCCTCCTCCCCATCACCACCTCGTCAGTCAGAACAGATAAACCTCAGGAGAAACTCATTGAGTCAATCTCTCTCTCTCTCTGGACTTGAGCAGCACAACAATATCTCATAGATCTCACAACTTATTTACTCCTGAATGTTTCAGAGCCGTATGGGATGGTATTGATACAACAACATGAGATTGTGCTGTAGATTAAAGTGCAGCAAATTTTAATCTACAAATCCTGTCCTTCTGTCGGCCAATCAGATGCGAGCTTGGCTGTAAAGAGCAGAGGCGGGATCAGCCATTTCCAGTCTGCACCTGCATCTAAACATGGGACGACCATTCAGAGTTCTGTTGGTCTTCAGTCTAATGTTGGCCACTAACGGTGAGTTACTTTAGAATTATGATCATCTGCTGAAATGAGTTAAAATCAGACTTTGTTGTGGTTGTTGTGATCTTCAGCTCAAGTGAATCTTCATGAAACAAACCATTTCCTCTTCGCTGCTCCAGAAGACAACATCACTCTGCCCTGTTTAAACAAAGATGTTGAGTTTAGAGGAAGGTATTATTGGTACAAGCAAACTTTAGGCAAAAAGTCAGTTTGTGTTTCGTCTTTGCGCAGATATCAGCACACCCCAACTTTGTTCGGAGAATTCAACAGCAGCCGACGATTCTCACTGAGAACTCAACACGAGCATTTTGACCTCTATATTACAAATGTCCAAACGTCTGATTCAGGGATTTATCTTTGCATGAAATTGTACCTAAACATTCTCAGTATCACGGAAAGCATTACCGTTGTTGTAATGAGACAGAACCTGACTTTTAAGATCCAGCAGTCAGAAAGTGAGGACCTATATCGAAGAGAATCTGTGAGGTTAAACTGTAGCGTCCAGACTGGGAGCTGTATTGGAGCACACAGCGTTCACTGGTTCAAGAAGTCTGAAGAATCCACAGCAGGAGTTCTCTACAGTCGTGGGAATAGCAGTGATCAGTGCGAGAAAAGCACGGACAGTCCAACAAACTCCTGCTTCTACAACCTCCACATTCATAACGTGAGCTCAGATCAAACTGGGACATACTACTGCGCTGTGGCCGCCTGTGGACAAGTCCTGTTTGGGAACGGGACCAGGCTCAGGGTCAGAGGTGAGTTATTTTGTCTCATCTGGCTTGAATTCAACAGTTACATGGTTAACTAGAAAAGCACTCGTAGAGCACAGACTTTCACCGAGAGTTAATTTTAAACAATTGTGGATCCAGACAGTTATATGCATCCTTTTTCAAATCGTCCCCATTTGTTCCCATTTTATCAAATCTGCTAACTATTGTGATTGCATAAAGTAGTGCTAAGTCAAAAGAAAGGTCAAAATTGTCCGTTCTAAAGCAGTTTGACTCCCGGTGAAGATACATTCTTCAGTTGTATGCACAGCTAAACAGTTTTAACCTGTATTTTATCAAAGTAGAAGCCTGTCTCACACTATCAGGAAGACTGTTCCAGATTTTAGCTGCATTAATCTGAAACAATGCCTCTTCAGCAGTTTGGAGATTTACCTTCTAATAGTTTCCAACTATGATGCAAACTGTGCTCCAACTCCAAAAGAATCTATTACTGATTCTGTGATCACATTTGTGGCAGTAGTTTCAGCTTCTGTTTGTGCTCCTTGAAAACAATCATTCCAATCACATCCTCCTTTTTGTTTAAAGATGGTGTTTCAGTAGGGGGCGACAGTAGCTCAGTTGGTAGAGCATTGGCCTTTGGGCCTGAAGGTCGTAGGTTCGAGACCACCGTAAGACCTACTTCACTACTCCCACTGATGACTGCTGTCGTTGTGTCCTTGGGCAAGACACTTAACCCTACTTTGCCCAAAGCCCCAACTGAAAGATCTCAGCTCCTGTGGACTCACCACCTGCAGAAGGATCAGTGAGGGGCTGGTGCTATGTGTACTGGGTGCAGCTCTGACTGCCACCCCCCCAACCCAGAAATGGATTAAGGGGAAGAAAATGGATGGATGGATGGTGTTTCAGATGGATTCATTGTGAAGGTGTTGAGTGGAGCCTTGGCGTTGGCCTCAGTCCTGGTGATGTTCCTGGCTTTCTTACTGATCAGAGCCATGAGGAAAAACATGAAGGTTTCCACAGGTAATAGTCCTTTCCCCAATCCTTTTCACTGCTCGTATCATAGCTGAGGTGTGTGGCTGACTTTGAAATTATGCTGTGGAGTCTCACTTTCATCTGCTAGGTTTACAAATTATCTCCAGATCGTGTTTCACAAGAAAAACCTTGACGACTTCCCAAAGCAACAACATTTTTGGACCAAATCTGTTTGGTCAACCTTTAACAGATTATGAACCTGACTTGACACTTCTATAAATACTCATACTTTCTGAATGAGACATGTGAGTGAGTGTTGGCGGTGCTCCGTTGGTGCAGACTGGCAGCCTCAGTTATGTCAGTCTGCCCCTGGACAGCTGTTGCTGCACTCAGCACCACAGTGTAATGCAAAGTGATTAGTATTGTCAGTTTTCAGTAGAGAAAAGCCAAAAGCCGAATTTCATGTTTCATTACAGAACTCAAATCCAGAATGCTGTCGATGACAAACAGAGAGGTGAGTAAATTATGTAAAATCTAATCATGCATAGCATGCAGGGCTAGCAAAGAAGCCAGCCCTGCATGATCACCACATGTTTGGGCGGTAAACTTCCAGCTTCATCAGAGGAGACACGTGATGGAACAACATGTCTCTGATCATTGAAATAAAAGAAACGGGCTCTCAGACCATCAACAGAGACCAGGGGGCCTTCACCTTGACTCACACATGGGACTCACTTCTCCAAAGACGCATCAGTAACAGCAGCAGATCAGAGACTCGTCACTGTCACGTGTCTCCTCTGATGAAGGTGGAAGTCTACCACCCAAAAACCTGGGTTTAAGCAGGACTAGCTTCTTTTCACTCTTTGTCTCATTAAAACTAGAGTGTGTTATTGAGATGAATTACATTGTGAAGAGACAGAAACGTGTGTCTGTGTTTGTTATTGTCAGGAGCAGGACGAGGACTCTCTTCACTACGCTGCTCTGAACGTTCAGTCTTCCTCCAGACGACAGAGAGTCACGGTTCAGACAGACTGTGTTTACTCCAGAGTTCACCTGTAGCTTCACTGCCTCCACCACCGCATCTATACAATAATTAGTACATATATGTCTTTCTCATAGACATCAGCATTTCAGTGAACTTATACCAATTACTCCCATAATAAGACTTCCACGGATTCAGCATGTTTCGATGCTTCAAATTAATGCTTTTTGGTCTTCAGTGGGGT